TCATCACTGTTTTCAAGTCAAAACATCGACATCTTCGCAGATGTAAGGAAGGAAGATTCACTAGTCATGGCAGTTCGTTGTGTGGTCCTGTAATCGTGGTTTACTGACTGACTCAAATGATCTAACAAGTTCCAAAAGTAACTCCTTGTGTACATGGATTATGCGAAGCACGATAAATGCGATTAGGAACCTTTATTTAGACGTATTTGGGACACGAAAAAGGCATGGAAATGAAGGCAATCTCACCTTTGTTTCTCTAGTTTGGTCTCCTAAGACATCCACTACCAATAAAAGCTAAAGATTTCCAAAGGCCTTGAGTTATCAGCTAGTACACTTCAAGGGCTCTGATAGTTCAGCTAAAGACTTTAAGACACAAGCGATTTCACAAAATCGTAAGTGAGAGATGCTCTTCAAGGAAGCAAACAGCCGAATAGAAAGTGAAAGTAGCTGCGCGCTCTGGGTGAATCCCCGATCCCCGACAATATCATTCTCGTCCCCAGAGTCACTCGGCTTACCGACCAAGAAACAACAGGCTCTGTACTGGGGACGAGAATGCGACAATATGTTCTCAAACTCATTAATAAATCAGATGAAAAGCAGCTCATTTTTGCATCCTTAATTTCTCCTTCTAAAAAACAAAACTCGTGTAAACTGTGGAAAACTCTGAACGAGCTTTTACCAAACAAGAAGCAACACAAAACTGCGAATGCCCCAGCCTCTGAAAATTTAACGGCTACTAGCTATGACTATGAGTTTTTCACGTCAGTTGCTGAGAAAGTATGTGGCCATTACAAAAGTAAAACCAGGGTGCCCAATATTTTAACTCCTAGAGTTGCACTAAACTCAAGGTGACTAAAACCTCGGGTCCTGATAGTATTACTGCGAGACTTTTGAAGGATGCAGCTCCAGTTATAACTAAACTGATCACGTATCTGGTTAACCTTACTATTTCAAAAGGACTTACAGGTGGTTTTCATGCAATCTCAGGAAACACAAATAACAATGGTGAAATGAACAAATGCTGGTGGACAAACAAAGCGAGCTAATGAGCGATCTTTTGTTTACCGTCCACCAGCATGGCGGCGATGACGTAACGTGAAAACCACCTGTTCCATCTGAGTGGAAGGATGCAAGAGTGACACTATTTTTAAATCAGGAGCAAGGAACGACTGTTTTGAATAATTACCGCCCAATCTCAGTTCTTCCCCTGGTGTCAAAGATTATGGAACGCGCTATTCAAGTACAATTCTTGGCTTTTTTAACAGAACATGACTTATTAACAGACTACCAATCGGGTTCTCGAAAGAAGCACTCTACTGAAACTGCGGTAGTTTACCTCACTGATTATATTTTGGAACATATGGATAAGGCAAATGATTACAGGAGCAGTGTTTATTGAATTGAAAAAAGCTTTCGACTTGGTCGATCATGAAAATGTTTCCTTTTTAAGCTAGAACACTACGGAATCAGATGAAGTAGTCTGGTTCCGGAACTATCTTACCCCACCAACTCAAAAAGTGCATTTTGGAAATGACATGTCTTCATGTTTTATGCATTAATGACCTGCGCCAATGTTTAGAAAACTGTTCTATTAATATGTATGCCGATGATACTGTGATGTATTTTACGAATATTTGCACTTCGGGGATTGCTAGGGTGGTACAGAATGATTTAAATGGATGGAAAGTAGCAGGCTTATCCTTAATCAGAGTAAAACAAAAATCAATGCTCTTTGCATGAAGTTGCATGGCAGAATTAAGTTTTTGTTTACAGTTATACGGATAAGACTTTAGAAAGATTAGCTAATTAGCTAGTTTTTCTTGTGCTTATGCTTTTAGTATGCTTATGTCGACCCAGTTTTCACTTGCTTACACATGTGCTTGTGCTTATGCTTACGCTTATGCGCTAGTGAAAACCAGGCTTTAATCTTTTTATTAGAAGAGAAATCCGCTATTTATAACACCTGTCTTTGTTTACAAAATACAGCCAATCAGAAACAAGTAGAGGAGACATAAACACGCACCGTAATTTTTAGGGAGTTATTATAACTCCAAAAATGGAGTAAAAATTTTAGGTACAGGATAACCCCTTTTTGGGTGTTATTTTAACTCCTAATTTAACTCCGAATTTGGGGTCATTTTTACTCCTGAAAAAGAGTTCTTTTTACTCCCAGTCTGGAGTTAAAATCACTCCGAAATGGGGTTACTTGTACTCCTTACATGGGTTGTTTTTACTCTTTTTGGAGTTAATTTAACTCTGAAAGTGGAGTAAAAATTTTAGGTACAGGATAACGTTTTTTTTTGGGGGGGGTTCTTTTAACTCCTCAATATCTGGGGTCACTTTTACTCCTGAAAAAGAGTTCTTTAAACTCCTTTTTGGAGTTAAAATAACTCCACGAAAAACAACTCCACTGTAAGGGGTTAAATTAGCCCCACTAGAGGAGTTATTATAACTCCCTGAAAATTACAGTGCAAGAATCCTCATAATATATGCAAGATGCATCTTGCATTTTAATAAATAGTGCATGATAAAATCTGAAAGATATATTTCTAGTTGCGGAAAAAATAAAATTGAAACTTCAAGAAATAATTTTAGAAATAAAAGAAATGGGCTTTAAATCTTCATCGTAAACACAAAGCAAATACACGAAAGATTATGTATCTTTCTCCTCTCAAGAAGATTATCAAAGTCTAAAAAATATTGATTCACTTGCTGAAAATTTATTACTTTCAGCGAATCATAATGGAGAAAAAACATGAATCAACAAAAGACTTAATAAATGAAATAATATATCGATTAAACACTATTCAAAAAGTAAAAGTAGAAGAAGAGTTTGATGACGCACTTGATGGTGTCTTTCCATCAATGATTAAATTAGTCGGGGAATATCGGATAGAATTCGGCAGAGTTCGTCAGTGGTCTTGGATTCTATTATTAGGGACTTTAAGATCCGAGACGCGACGGCTTTAAGGTGACCTTTACTTTCATCGTAAATCTAACACATAGAATGGATAACATATAAATCAATCTACAATATAACATAAAATTTTTGGCGATCGGGGTAAATGTCACGTGGTTATAATGCCACGCCCCTTTGAGGTCTGAGTCGAAAATCTGCTGTTGCCGGCAATTTTTCGTAAAAATCTCTCGGCTACACATAGTGCGCATTAGTGCCTTACGCTGAACAGAGTTTCACCAAAATCGCAAAGACCCAATTCGAGAAAATCAGCGGTTTCCAAATTTAGGTCATAATTTATGCAAAAATGATAAGCAAACTTAACGCGATTATATCTAATAAACTATGAGACTTATCCCTTTATTTTGGGCATCGTTATAACAGATGGGTCCTTGCAAGTCAGCAAAAAGCTTCAGGGCCTTGTAAATGCGCCCGATTTCGAGCAAAGCAAACATATAGAAATTATAGTTTTAGCTATTTGTTGACGTTTGTCAGCGTTTAAGAGTCCTTCTCACGAAAAAAGCATTTTCTTAAAAATTCGTAGTTTTTTTTCCTTCAAATTTTTTCAGGGCCACAATTGATTAACTAACTACCAGGATTCTGAATTTCATGGTCATTGAAAAACTGTGACATTATCTTCTATAAGCCCAAACTTGAGTAAACATTGAAGATTTTTAGCGTTTTGGCTGAGTTTGTGCTTTGGGAGTTGTCTATTGTTTCTAGTCTGTCATGATACAGCATTCTTGTTCAGCACGCGTGCAATGACTTCCGAATGCTCACCGAGATATGATAATTTTGGTACAGTGAGTAGTAATACTGGCTACTTCATCCCACTACCAATCAGAATCGAGTATTTCAAACACGTGACTGATTAATTCACTCTCGACCAATCAGCGTCCAGGATTTCATGGGGGTTAGTACTACATGTAAAACCATCACGAAAAGTCTCACAACATTCCCCCGTCATGTAAGACACACGAAAAGTCACGTTTCAACCAATTTTATTCTGACGTCATACCTAGCGTTACAATCGGGACGTGTGTGACCTCCTATTGACGTCACGCCCATTTCGTTTTAAAAAGTTTTAAAAGTCATCAAAAAAATGGCCGGGAAAGCGGTGGTTCGGTGGCCATCGCCGGTACTGGCAAGAAGTTCTCGCTTTCGGCCGAAGAGTCCAGCCAGCCAGGTGGGACTCGAGGCTTACAGGTTCGAATGGTGTCGGAAACGTAACTCTTTTGGTTCTTAAATCAACTCCATTCTAGTTCCTAATGAGTGGAAAGTCTATGTATAAAAATAGGAATAAGAGTTGCGATCGCCAGGCAACACATGTCTTCTTGTTTAGCGCTAAAAATCGGATATATAAACAAAACACACACACACACACATACACAGAGTGGAGCTGAAAACTCTCTATTTCAATGTTGACTCACCATTACGAAAGCGTTTTCTCCGTTCTATCTCGAGGAAACGACTAAGTATTGAAATCTCAGCGCTTGAGGAGCTTATGGTCGCCGTTAGTCAGTTAATTATGCGGGTTAACAAGCCCAAACTTGAATATAAATTAGTTCATCTCTACAGCTAGACCCAAGGGAGCACCTTAACTTATTATTGTAAAAACACAAACAATCAATAACTTAACAAGGTTCAATTAAAACACGCGACAAATAAATTGACAAAACACGAGATACAGTTTTAAAAACTTTATTGAAAACCAGTGACAAAAAGAGTCGAATACACAGCGATTTGAAAGAGATGGAAATTAATCATCTTCTTCGTTCTCCTCTTTAGAAGGTGAATAAAAATTGGTTTCCAACGTCTTGGCGTTTTTGTGTGTAATTAATCCACAATCGTGACACCGAAGAAAGCCCTCTTTGATGTATTTTCTCTCCTCGGGGATCTGGTGATCGCATATAAGACAAATCTTGTAGTTATCGTGCCAAAAGTATTTAGGACATTTCATGATCAATGTGGAGTACACATTAGAGTTTTCGCAATGTTCACAGGGACTTTTAGAGTGAAAGGTGGTGGACGTTTCAGGGCTACTACTTTCTGTTTCCTCACTATCGTTTTCAGTGTCGTTGTCGCTCTCTTGGGTGCCTTCGGTTTCAACGCCATTCTCAGAAGCCACTACCTCCTCCTCCTCCTGATTTTCAATATCCGATGAACTCTCGTCATTATTACTCTCATTATCGGAAGTATTTTCTACATTTCGGTAGCCTTTTTCCTTTTCTATTAAATCACTTAACAACTTTTTGTTCTTGATTAAACCTTTGTCAATTCCTAACTCTGCAAGTCCATCTAGAAACGTATTCAGCGCACGAGGCTTGGTAACCTCATTGTTAACACATACTCAACTAGCTCGGCGATGTTTGTGACGGGAATAGTGCGTTTATTTCGAAGTAATTGTCCGCTGGGAGTCCAGAATAGAATATCTTTGGACGCGGCCAAACTATGCAGCAAATCAGAAGCACGCTTTTCCGACACTGCTCGGGAAAGATGACTCAAAACATCTTTTATTCTTGGTTCTTCTTTTATTCTTGGTTCTTCATCCTCGCTTTCACCACCAGAACTTTCGCTTTCTTCATGTTCACTCTCGTGTTCTTCTTCAACCAAATCTATCTTTCTCTTCATTTTGATGAGTACCCGTGACAGACTGTAGCTTCAAGTGAGTAACTTATAGTTTCGTTTCCTCTTTTATAGCATCAAAAATCCTAGGCTTGTAACAGCAGGTACCAATAGGTCTTGAATAAAACCATCACCCTCTTGTACAAGGATTCGCTTCTTTGTTTTGTAAGGTACATTTGTTTCTGCTAGGTTTACTAGAGCATCCTTATATGGCAACACGTTCCGCTTATTTTCTTCGGGGATAAGAATGTATTCCTTAAGTATATTGTATAAGATTTGGACTAATGCATGTAGTTGTTGTGGACTGGCTGTCCGTAAAAGAAACTGTCGCTGATGAGCTGGACAAACAGCTAAGAATTGAAGAAAACCACGATTGTTCTTGACAACTTGAGACATTGCGACAAACTGAACTTATGATGGCAGTTGGCAGTCTTTTATAGAATCTCGTGGAGAAAAAAAATGAAACGAGTGGGCGAAGGATAGAAAACAATAGAATGAGGAGGAGGAGGAGGAGGAAAAACAATAGAAATGAGGAGGAGGAGGAGGAGGAGGAGGAAAAACAATAGAAATGTGGTGGTGGTGGTGGTGGTAGTGGTGGATTTAGGGGAGGAAAACAATAGAATTTTGTGGCCTGAAAACCGATATAAATGCGCAACATTCTACCTCTTTCTCAGTCTACATTTTGCTCCTGAGGAGTTGAGATGAGTTGGCTCTGTTCTGTCTGCGAAAAATCCTTTAGTAGAAAAGATAATAAACAAAGGCACGTGATGTCTAAACACCGCAATGTTGGTCTCACCCCATTTCAAACAGTTCCAATATTTTCACAGAAATGTCAGCGGTTTCGCTTCGACCACCCTTTCACCTCCATGATTGCCGGAATGACCGGGTCCGGAAAAACGGCCTGGGTTCGATCGCTATTGCAACAAGCTTCAGAGACCATTTACCCTCCCCCGGAGAGGATCGTTTCGTGTTATTCACAATGGCAGCCTGAGTATACACAAATGTTCGTCGCCATGCCAAACATTGAATTCGTCAAGGGAATTCCTACGGCTTTGGAGCAGAATTCCTATTTTGACGTGAACAAACGGAATTTGATCGTGTTTGATGATCAGATGATTGACGCCAGTAAAGACAAGCGAATTGTGAACCTCTTTACTCGTGGTTCTCATCATGGCAATATGAGCATGATTTATATCGTGCAGAATCTATTTCATCAGGGGAAAGGTAGCCGCAGCATAAGCCTAAACAGCCATTATCTGGTGTTATTCAAGAACCCACGAGACAAATTGCAAATCTTGACTCTTGCCAAGCAAATGTATCCCGAGCAAACTGATTTCTTTTTAAATCATTACGAAGAGGCTGTGAAAAGACCTTTTGGTTATCTGCTGATTGATCTGAAAACTACTACCCAAGATAATTGTCGACTGGGAACAAACGTCCTACCCAGTGAAGAAGGTTTTAACCAAGCAGGGTTTCAAGAAAATGTTCCTCAAGAGCTTTTAAAATATCTAAAGCAGCAAAATCCTTCGCCTGTCCCACTTCTTCCAGCTATACAAGAAATACGGGCCAACATGGACGACTTACTTTCTCGAAACGATCTTCGGGACGATGAAAAAGCTAAGAGATACTTTCAGTTGCAAAACAGATACCTGGCTTTTAAAGAACAATTAAATACAAGAACACGACCGGAAGAAATAATCAGCACTGTTCCAGACTTAACATCAAGCACACAAGATTCTTCGACAGCAACGGCAGCATTCTCCACTCCCATTAACCCCTTTAACGTAACACCTAAATTAACACAAGCGGCTATCTTACAAAAACCTGAAAACGAAGCTTCAACCCATCGCTAACCTTAAATCCTGGTTTCCTGACCCCTCCTCCCACAGTAGAAACCCCATCACAAGGCCCGAAGCGCAAAAAGCGTCGGATTCAATTTGTAAATTAATTGGATGATCATAATGCTCATGGCAAACAGAGGAAACGAACTCGGCATAAGAAATTTCGAGTTAGACCTTACAAGTACTCCATGGGCGAAGATGATTAATTTCCATCTCTTTCAAATCACTGTGTATTCGACTCTTTTTGTCACTGGTTTTCAATAAAGTTTTTAAAACTGTATCTCGTGTCTTGTCAATTGTGTATTTATTCGATTAACCGCCCTGGGCGCTTATTAAATTTTTGGACCTTGAGAGTGGGCGCTTATTCGAGGTGGGCGCTTATTCGAGGCTGGGCGCTTATTAAATTTTCAACATTTTCAGCAAGTGTAGTATGTGTATTTTCCAACAAAACAATAAATGGTAATAACAGAACGCGAAGATGTAACAAAGCAAGGTTCCTGTAAAATACTTTGAAGAAAACTCCGTCTTCGAGGAAGTCTCTTATTAGTATTTATTCAATTTTAGGGGTGGTCGCTAATTTGAGTTTGAGTGGGAGTGGGAGGAAGGTTAGCCTGCGAAAACATCCGTTTCTCCTCGCTCTTCCCCGACGGGGATGTTTCGCGAGGAGGAACGTCTGCGACTCAGCAGCAGAAATTCCATACTGATGACGCAAACCAATGTTTACATAATTAATCCAGTAGTCATAGGGTTCCAAATACAAATTTGTCCAATTTTACGTGTCTTTTGGTCGATTTTGGTAAAGTGTTGTGTTCATCTGCCAACGAGCTCCAACAAAACTCAAACGCTTCTTCAAGAGACGGACTATATTCCCAAATAATGACTGTTTTGTTAGAGATTCTTCGCGTTTACATTTGACCTTTGTGGTCTTTTGTCTTTTGTCTGTCATTCGTAAACAATAGCTAAAACAATGCAACTACTACGTCGTCCAATCAGCGCTTCTGACCAGATTCCGGACAGATTTTACGTCATCAGTATGGAATTTCTGTCGCTGAGTCGCAGACGTTCCTCCTCGCGAAACGTTCCCGGCGGCGAAGAGCGAGGAGAAACGGATGTTTTCGCAGGCTAGAGGAAGGTGTGGTGGGGTGGGCGCTTATTCGAGGCTGGGCGCTTATTACCTTTTTCTGCCTTTAGGATGGGCGCTTATTCGAGGTGGGCGCTAATTCGAGGTTGGGCGCTTATTCGAATAAATACGGTATTTGTCGCGTGTTTTAATTGATCCTTGTTAAGTTATTAATTGTTTGTGTTTTTACAATAATAAGTCAAGGTGCTCCCTTGGGTCTAGCTGTAGAGATGAACTAATTTGTATTCATGTTTGGGCTTGTTAACCAGCATAATTAACTGACTAACGGCGACCATAAGCTCCTCAAGCGCTGAGATTTCAATAGTTAGTCGTTTCCTCGAGATAGAACGGAGAAAACGCTTTCGTAATGGTGAGTCAACATTGAAATAGAGAGTTTTCAGCTCCACTCTGTGTATGTGTGTGTGTGTGTGTTTTGTTTATATATCCGATTTTTAGCGCTTAACAAGAAGACATGTGTTGCCTGGCGATCGCACCTCCTATTCCTATTTTTATAAATAGACTTTCCACTCATTAGGAACAAGAATGGAGTTGATTTAAGAACCAAAAGAGTTACGTTCCCGACAGGATTCGAACCTCGAGTCCCACCTGGCTGGCTGGACTCATCGGCCGAAAAAGAGAACTTCTTGCCAGTACCGGCGATGGCCACCGAACCACCGCTTTCCCGGCCATTTTTTTGATGACTTTTAAAACTTTTTAAAACGAAATGGGCGTGACGTCAATAGGAGGTCACACACGTCCCGATTGTAACGCTAGGTATGACGTCAGAATAAAATTGGTTGAAACGTGACTTCTCGTGTGTCTTACATGACGGGGGAATGTTGGGAGACTTTTCGTGATGGTTTTACATGTAGTACTAACCCCATGAAATCCTGGACGCTGATTGGTCGAGAGTTAATTAATTCAGTCACGTGTTTGAAATACTCGATTCTGATTGTTAGTGGGATGAAGTAGCCAGACTGAGTATTACTACTACAGTGAGACAGGCCATCGTGTGATACATAGAGGTTTAACTCACAATTTTTAATCAATTCTCGTGCTTCTTGGGCCTTTGCAAAAAAATCAAAAAGTGCTACACACTAAATCTACTTACTATTAAAAAAAATATCATTTTTTCATAGGTTTAATGCAAGTCAATAATTAAACCAACTCGTGACGGGAATCCCTTCTATTTTCTCATACTAAATTATCATATAAGCGATCAGTCCGAGACCACGTGGGAATCCTTGTTTACAAGCATAAGAAGAAACTTCTAGCGGAGGAAAAAGCAACTGGGATAACTCCCGATGAGCCAACGGAACTAGAAAACCTATTGGATATGATCATCGCGTTGGAGGAAAGTGGCGAAGCGGAATTACAGGAAACACAGGGAACAGCTAGCAAAAAACGTCAATACGATCGGGCTAAAGAGGAAGATATTAGACTAAAAGCGATGGAGAAGCTGTCAGAGACGAAGAAAAGAGGTTCATCAGCGGATGAAAGCGATGACAAACCGAAGCGTCAACGAAGAAGTGGAGGCGATGCTATCGAACAAAGCACAAAGCATTTCTTGGACTTTCTTAAATGATGCCATGGCTATTCCTGCGAAAGAATTGCCGAAGAATCACACTGATAAAGAGCGGTTTGCAGCCGCGTCGTCTTGCATCGCGACGGAGATCTTAACTTTACTTTTCGCGCGCAAACGACGGCGTTCTAGTTCCAGTCCTTGATCAGCCACCGCGTTCTAGAAGTCGTCGCGTCCCAGATCTTAAGGTCCCTATTACCCTCACTTAACGCGATAGCATTATGACTGACTGCCTGGGGCAGTAAGCCACAAAAATGGTCAAAGTTAAGAAAAAAGGTTCGCTTAATGTAAGTAAGTAAGTAAAGTTTCTATATTAAATCTTTATTATATGTGTTTTCATACTGAGTGAGAAACTTTTAGATACATGAACGTACTATAAAGTTCATGGTGCCTCAAGTTGATTTTTTGCTTTTCAAGGCCTACTGCTAGAACAAAGCCTTTTGGAGCATCTAAAGGGTGATAGTTGTTAAAATGATAATACTATAAGGTTCCCACAGCATAAAGTAAGATGTTTGCAATTCAGAAGGAGTTTCAAAAGGAAAACTATTACTTGTTCACTCCCCTATAGTTTGAGGCAAAAGGCAGTAAAATCCAGCCATCTCCTAAATGCCCACAAAAGATACAAAACTCAGCAGTAAGTGTAAATATAATAGAATATAGGTGTTAGCGAAATAAAGTCTTCGTCTTCAATTCTTGCCATTATCAATAGAAGCCCTTTATAATCCAGTGTTACTGCAAACAACAATATTTTATAAATAGGGCGTATTCGAGATGTCAATAACAGAAATATAACATCAAGGACCCATTCCCTAGGAATTGAAGTTATCGAGTGGAATAGGAACAGTCAAAATCGATGGAGGGGCAGCAAGTGACACTATTGACACAATGAATGCCCACCGGGAAGGACTAAACTATATTTCTGGAGGTGGACCCGAGAGAGATACCATCAGAGGGGGATCTGCTAAGGACATTATCTCTGTGGACAACGACGAAGTTTGGGACGTTGATGGTGACAACGTCTTCTTGGTAGAAGGAGCTGGTAACGACAACATCCAGGTGGGACCTGGAGCAGACCTCACTATCATCAAGAAATCAGCGGGCACCGCGTCATTCACCATACACAAAGCGAACAAAGAGACAAGAGACAAGCAGAAACCAAAGAGAATTGTGTACGATAGTGATACCAGGTTGACTCATGGGGAGAACAATGCAGACAAAGATATCATTGAAGGAAGCTATACATACCACGATGTACTTTCCCTGAATAACTACAAGCCAGACACGTCAACACGATCACCTGACCAGAGAATAGTTCTTATTGATCAAGGAAACGCCGAAGGAAGGAGGACCGTGGATTTTTTTTATAAGTCAGATCACTCAAGCAGTCAACGATCTCTTTGAAGATCACCATGGCGAAGTGCTCTCTAGTGCCTATCCTTTTCGTGCTCTAATGGTGGAAGATGCTCAGCACATCTACTTCAAACACATCGAGAGATTTGAACTGAGCAAACACAGTTTCAATCTTCTTCTACTGGCAAACAATCCGTATCGAAACACAAGGCACGAAGTGATTGGTGGCGCGTTAGACGATTATGTCATCAACTTAGATGAAGACATTGAAGTCCTGGCTCAGATGGGCACTGGTGCTAATCGAGTGTACTCTGGTCCTAGAAATGACGCCTACTCTGTCATTCTTGATAATTCCAAAGACGTAATCTGCGACCGGGGAGGTGAAAATATCGTTGCTATCATGTTGGAAGATGGCATGACGCTTCAAGACGTACAAATCATGCGGAACGGGAACAACCGTTACAGAATATCCAAAAAATTTGGTTACTCCTTACTGGATTATGTGTTCCATGGTGACAACGAGTAAGACGAGGTTCAGTTCCTTTTCAGAGATAACACAGGCAAAGAAGTTGTCTTTAAGATGCTAAAGCGGCCGCAGTATGTTACGAACAGGTTTCTTGACCTCGTAAATATAAATGACTATCATATCGGTTACGAATTCCTTTTTGAATACAGAGATATAATATTGAAGATTTCCCCTGCAAAAGGGGAGACACTTCATAAAGAGGAATGCAAGCGCAAAGATCCTGCACGGAAAACAAAATCCGGAAAATTGAAACATGCAAAGCATGGGAATGGGAAATGAAAAAACGAATGTGAAAAATATATTCGTAAATTCAACAGTGATAGCCTATCATTGTATGGTGAAACATAAACTACATTACGCTAAGCGTTCTTAAAACATACAGTAGAAACTTACTTCTGAGAGCAATCAAAACGGTTAACTTAGCCATATAATTACCATCTCTCACCTAAAGTGGTAACAACCCCAGTTAAAGGAGTTGAAACTATGAAGAACTTCCAAAACTTAAATATCGTTTTTCATTTCTTTACGGTCTTATAAAATATATGTATATTGAAAGTTGCGTTGCATTGTAGAACCTTGTAGGTTAAAAAGCACTGAAATTTTGCATTGTAAAACCTTGCCATCTTATACTCAATAAACTGACGTCCTTTCGAGGAGCTTATTTTCATCTCTTAGGCACACTGGGCTGATGTTTTACAAAGGTAGCCATTAGTAACCACAAATAGATTTTGAATTGATTTTGGATTTCTTAGGTATAATAATTTACACCTTGTTTTGGCTTCTTATAGTTTGTAAGGAGAAGATTAAATCTCTTCGATTTTATATGACACAAGCGCTTCTACATCACGGAATTGTTTGCGAATAGGGCTTTGACCTAGCCAACCAATTCCTTCTTACTCTATCCTTATGGCTTACTGTTGTCCTAAAGTTCATTGTTTCATTTATGCACCCACTCACATTTCCTTACACAGGGAAACAATCTATGCGTAACAAGAAACACATACTCGAAGCCTTATGAATCCTAATATGTTTCCTGATGTCAGGGTCTTCAGTTTTCTGTTCACTTGTATTTAAGAGAAAGAGCTGTGTCACGATATTTATCAAAACTCAAAGTGGGGAACGGCCACCAAATACATTGAAACATAAAAAAAGTTAAAATTATTACAAGTTGATATAAAGAACAAATCAAATACTGAGCTAGAAAGCTGAGAGTTAGCTCTTTTACACAACCACTGGTGCTGATCCTTTTTTATGAAATTAAAGAAGTAACGTGAAATCTCCAGCTACTACACCGGGATCAACCTTTTCGATTCGATCTTCATTGTCAGTATCAACCCGTTCATCTGCTTTTTCTAGGCGAACTCCCGCTTGTGATCCAAGTAATCAAGATCCAAGGATAGACACTGCCTTTGTTTCGAGATTGTCAGTACGTAGGGGTTCCAATAGCCTTGATTTGCAAGCACGTGACAAGGTGAACATGTTGGTGGTCAGTACCATAAACATTTTTTTTTCATGGAATCTACGAGAAAATGGAGTTAAATTCCCAGAAGAGAGGAATGTAAATGATCTCGATCACCAACATGGTCGCCGTGACGTCACGTGGAAATCGGCAATAGACAGTTAAGCCAAAATTTCGACAGCAAAGCCACTTTCTTTCCAGGTCCACTTTTCGTTATCAAGTAAGGTTTGTATCTTGTCCCTATACCTTTACTTAATTATACCCCAAGTGAATGCCCGAGGGTCCTCTTCACAAGTTCTTCCTTTAGACCGTGTATACCAAGCGTTTATTGAGACCTCAGCTTCATGTGACCGTAAACATGGTTATCTATGTCCTCACTTAGAATCTATTAAAACTGACACTTTCAATTATTCAACTGACTCTATTGTATAAAATTTTTTATCTTGTTACGCTCTGTTACACTCACCGAACCCATGGAAAATAATCCGATATCAAGGACCAGTCTAGCTTCACTATCCTCACTATGGAAGTTCAACAGATGTTTGAGAATCTACGGAAGGAAGCTGAGTGTGCTCTGTGTTTAGAGACAGTCAACAATCCCAAGACTTTGCCATGTCTTCACTCATTTTGCCTCGAATGTCTCGAAAAACATGCAGGCTTCGCAAGAAAACAGCTGCAAACAATGATTAAATGTCCGGTTTGTCAGACATCACTACAAATCCCTGAAGGAGACACCTTTAACAACTTGCCCACATCTTTTCGTCTCAAAAAATTGGTGGAATTACTTGCTTTAAGAGATCGCAGTGTAAGGGCCCCGAAATGTAGCGATTGTGATGAAAACAATATCGCATCCGCTTACTGTTTCGTGTGCCAGAACTTTCTCTGCACTGCTTGTTTTGAAGCTCACCAGCGCCTAAAGATTACCAGAGGTCATCGCAGTGTTGTGATAGAGAAGTTGCAAGCGCCAGATGTTCAAGAGTTTATCAATAGACCAATCATGTGTTCAATGCAATATCACGAGAATCAACCGCTGGAATTTTATTGCTTCGAATGTAAAATTCCAATTTGCCTTAAATGCAGTGTTGTGAGCCATAATCGACACGCCATGACAGACACTCGGAAAGTCGCAGAATTACAGAAGATGCAAATGAAGGATGCTTTGGAGAAACTGGAAGCGTTGACTGTTATTTACGAGAGAGAAATAAAGAAGCAAACAGAGGTGATAGAAAAAAGTAGAAACGAAGTTATGACTGCAGAAAAGAAAATGGTAAGCGCTGTGGAAGAGTGCATTCATCAGTTGCAGAACCATGAGAACACTATGAAGGTCAGGTTTGCTGAAATTTATGAGGCGCAACAGAAGTATTGCGAAACTCGACTGGAAAACTTTGATTTGTTTCTTACTCAACTGAACAGTTGCGTTGAACGAGGTGAGGGCATCGTACAAAGAAAGATCTGTGCTGAAATTCTTCAAACACAACAGGCCTTTATTGAACACTGTGAAGAACTTCTGAAGGCAAGAAAACCTGACATTTACAAACCTTCACACGTGCATTACATGGTGGAACAGAAAGGGTCCATTTTGGATCGTATTGTGGTTAGTAACACAGATCCCTCGCTGACGTTACTAGAAGAGGAGGGCCAGAAAGAGAAAACAGAAAAAGCAGAAGCAATTTTTACCATTGTAACAAGAGATTCGTCTGCCCTGCAGTGTTATAATGAAGACGATCAAATAAAAGTCAGCATTTCAACTCCAACAGGTGATCAACTGCAAACAGAAATGAAAGACACCAAAAACGGCAAGTACACAGTAACATACACACCACAGTGCGTTGGACAACATAGAGTAGAGATCCAAGTAAATGGACAACCACTGACTGGTAGTCCCTGGTTTGTTCAGGTGATTCCGCATCCGTATCAATTTTTGTTTCAATTTGGATCAAAAGGGAAAGAACAAGGGCAGTTTAATAGACCTTTCTTCATCACCGTAAGTGACAAAACTAGTAGGATTGCAGTAGTTGACTTTGACAATAAAAGAACTCAGATTTTTAGCTTTGATGGAAAATTCCTCGGTGAAAGGCCTTTCTTTTTCGTATTCACTGGATCTAATGGCGAATTTTTCTTTCTCAATGATGACAACCATCAGATTTCCCTGTGTGCTGAAGATGGTAAGCTCATAAGGAACATTGATCGGAGACTTTTTAAGTCATTCACTTACATCGTTTGTGGAACTGATGGTCATTTAATTACATGTGAAAAAGACGACAAAACGATCAAAGTTTTAACCTCTGACTGGAAACACGTACTAAATTCCTTCAGTGCTCCGGATTGTGACGCACAGCCGTGGTGTGTTGTTCTTCACCATAAGAAATTCTTTGTTTCCTATCCAAAAGCTAACCGTGTCATGGTATTTGACAACGCGGGAATGTATCTTTATGACATTGGCAGCGAGGGATGTGGTGCGGGGCAGTTTAAATCGCCCTCAGGACTGGTTATTGACAGTTTTAACCGTTTGATCGTTTGCGATGTAGGAAATAGCAGACTGCAACTTTTCACACTTGACGGAAAATTTGTTAGCGGGATAACAGGATCTTTTTTCGATAACAGCTGTCTTATTTCTTGTGCCGTGTCAAATACCGGTCACTTGTTTGTTGCTGATGTCATCAAAAACTGTATTTATGATTTTAAATGAAACTGTAAAGGAACAAACATCTCTTGTGAGGAGACATATGCTGTAATGTTAGCGGCTGTTCATACTTGGTTCCCGACCGAATACCGCTTACTAAATTAATTCCGTAAAGGTGCGACGCTTATTCGAGTAGCGGCGCTTAATCGATCATTTACGGTACGTGTAGTGTATAATATGTTATATATGATATTTGTATACCGTTACAAATTTAGCTACTCGAGGTGTCCATACTACACTGTCTTTTTTGTCGGGGAATGTTAAAAAAAATAGCAAAGGGACTGTCTTTAGGTTACTTTCTTGAAAATCTAATTATGGAGTAATAATTGTAATAGAATAATAGAATAATCTATATTATGCTTTTGTCGTTATAGATGGCTGATGTTACAATCTAGTTTATGCCGCAAAATCATGTGCAAACTAAGAAGCTAAATGAACCAGCTGTTGGTTTTCTTGTTAGCTCCCCGAGCTATTTAGGTATATAGGTTGAAGCTAGCCGGTAAAAATCAATCAATGAATCAATAAAGTCAAAAGTAATACAACGGGAAAAGAGCAAGGAAGGAAGAGCTTATTTACATGAAGTATGTTGTTTCATCGGCAAGAAGAAAATGATTTCATTTCAGTGTTCTGACTTTATCGTTGAGTTGAAGTTCTCCGATGAAAAGGACTTCAGTGACTCTTTTGTCGATAGTTGTTGGGACCAAATTTCATTACATCACTTTTTCATTACGCTTTGAAGATTTGATTTAGCTAAGCACTGTTATATGTATTTTTATTCCTTTTGTTTTGGTGTTACCTCAAGCTGATTGTTGTGATCTGATGAAAGGTAGATTTTTGCGCCAGCAAAGAGAGCTCAACGGCCAAATTGCATTTTTGTTAATAGCGCCCGCCATCTTTAATTCCTTCTCGACTTAGTAACACCACGGACCGAATTTCTACATGTAAACCCAACGAAAAGTAGTTCCGCCTTTCGGGATCTCTCTGGTGCTAGGATCTTTCTCCCTCCATGGAATACAGCTGCCAAGTCAGGGTTTTAGTCATTGGGCGGTCCATTCTGTGTAATCGCAGACGTAATTTAACTCAGGTTAGTAACGGTCTGCGAAGCAGTGCCGAGATCCTGTTCTGGGCCCCCAACGGATATCAATGAATCACCAGAGGTGCGTTTCGAAGTTCCTTTCGTTCTGATTGGTAAATTGGTAAATTGGTTTTTATAACGAACCAATCATGGCGCGTTTTCAAATTCTGTTACACACGTGGGGGCCCAGTACATGGACTGTTTGGCGCTTTTGTCAGGCGGGCTTAACCAGAGTTTAGTTTCGTCCGTGGGGCAGGCTAAGAGAAGAAAATCAATTACTTTCGACTCATATTAAAGAATGGTTTCTGTTCGGTTCAGTTACGCAGTGGATTTCCATAACTAACATAAGGGGAGAGGGACACTCGCGCGACTCCTTGGCTGCGATGCACTCAGCTGTGCATTTCCAAGCTTTGTTCAGCCCCAGTCGCAGTTGGCTTGTCATGCATATAAAATTTGCCGCTCCCTCATTGCCCTGCATGTTGTAAGCGCTTTAGCTGGAAAATGGATATTCGCCAACTCTTTGCCAGCCTTAGAAAAGAGGCTGAATGCCCACTTTGCTTAGGAACGGTCAAAGGTCCCAAGACTTTGCCATGTCTTCACTCATTTTGTCTGACGTGTCTCGACAAACATACAGAGTTCGCAAGAAAACAGTTACAGACAACAATCAAATGTCCGGTTTGTCAGACATCTTTTCAAATCCCTGAAGGAGACTCGTTCAAGAACTTGCCCACATCTTATCACCTTAACAGACTGGTGGATGTTCTCGCATTAAAAGGTGGCAGCGAACAAGCCCAGAAATGCAGCAGTTGTGATGAGAACAACAACGCATCCTGTTTCTGTTTTGAGTGCCAAAATTTTCTTTGCACTGCTTGTGTTAAAGCTCACCAACGTTTGAAAAGCAGCAGAGGTCATCGCAGTGTTATGATTGAAAAATTGCAAGCGAGAGATGTGGAGGAATTAATCCACAGACCTGTCATGTGTTCACAGCAATACCACGAAAATCAACCGCTGGAATTTTATTGCGACGAATGCAAAGTTCTCATTTGCCACAAGTGCAGCGTAGTGAGCCATAATCAACACACCATGACAGACATTCAGAAAGCCTCACAGTTACAGACGATGCAGATGGCGGAGGCTTTGAAGAAAGTTAAAGCGGAAACTGTTATTTACGAGAACGAGACAAAAAAGCAAAACGTGTTGATGGACAAAGCCAAAAACGATGTTTTGTCAGCCAAAAAGATGATGGCAGACGTGGTCCAAGAATGTATTTGCAATTTACGCCAACACGAGAGGGCAATGAAAGCCAAGTTTACTGAAATATTTGAAGCGCCACAAAGGCATAATATTGCACGTCTAGAAAACTTTGAGGTCGCTCTTGCTCAAATGAAAAGTTGCGTTGAACAAGGTAAAAAAATCTTAGAAAGAAATGTCAGCGCTGAAATTCTGCAAACAAATCAAATCATAGTCAAACGATGTGAAGAACTTTTAAATTCCAAAACACCTGAAATTCATGAGCCACCACTCGTGCGTTACATACTTGAAAATAAACTTAACATTTTGGATTGCATTGTGGTTAGTGACACAGATCCTTCCCTATCGTTAGTTACAATGGAAAGTAACATAGAAGTACTGGGAAACACAGAAGCAAATTTTACCATTGTAACCAGAGATTCTCGTGGGTTGAAGTATTATCAGGAAGATGATCAAATAAGAGTACACATTTCAACGTCAGCAGGTGATGAACTGGAAACAGACATAAAAGACACCAAAGACGGCAAGTACACAGTAACATACACACCACAGTGTGTTGGACAACATAGAGTAGAGATCCAAGTTAATGGTCAGCCGCTGACTGGCAGTCCCTGGGTTGTCCAGGTAATACCTCACCACTATCAATTTACTTTTCAGTTTGGATCACACGGAAAAGATCAAGGAAAGTTTAACAGTCTTAGGGATATTGCCTTGAGTCATAAAAGTAGGACACTTGCTGTCGCTGATGTTGAAAATATGAGAATTCAGATGTTTACCTTGGAAGGAAATTTCCTTAGGGAGATCACACTAGAGAATGAGCCCTGTTCATTGGCTTTTACCAAAACTGGTGACCTCCTTGTCTCTATCCCTTATGACCACAATAAACTTTCCCTTTACACTGAGGGTGGCCAATTCATTCGATATATCAGCAATGAACATGTCAAAAAACCGTGGTACATATCTGTAGCTACTGATGGTCGCATAATCACTTCTGACAAGGGTGACAATACAATCAAAGTTCTTAGCCCTGATGGGAAATACTTAACTCAGTCGTTCAGAGCTCCAAGTTGTGATGCAGAACCAAGGTGTATTGTTTATCACCAGGATAAATTCTTTGTCTCCTACACTGAAGCTCATCGTCTCGTCGTCTTCAACAGCGCAGGGGATTATCTATATGACATTGGCAGCAAGGGATCTGGTGCAGGACAAATGACAGGACCTTGGGGACTTGTTTTTGACAAGTTTGACCGTTTGATTGTTTGCGATGCAGTAAATAGAAGACTGATTCTTTTTACCCCTGATGGAAAGTTTGTGGCTGAGGTAGCTGAGACTTCTCCGAAATATGGTTTCCTTACGTTTTGTGCTGTGTCTAACACTGGACATTTGTTCGTTACTGACGTTGAAAACAACTGTATTCATGTTTTTCATTAGTATCGCAACTGTTCGTCTTTCGGACACAGAACTTTTAGATGTATTTTATCAAGCCACTGAAGTGCTGAACTTAAGAGAAAGAGCTCTCAACAAACAACTAATTACAGACATGGAAATATATACCGTACTGATTTAAAGTTTATGGGATTATGTTAACGTGAACGGCAGTACTTAAGTTGAGGAGATGTGTTGATAGAGATGTGTTTTTCAGCTAAAGGCTACATTACAAGGGTTGCAAGTTGAAAAGTAAAAAAAACTCATTAAGTCCATGTCACTTGTTTTTTAATGAATTTTGGCAAAACGCCAGGATTGGGTGAGTAAACTGCTTTTGGAGAAACACCCACGCTGAAATTCAAGCATTGATTTTCATGTCAACCATCTCTGGGTCTGACAAAACATTATTCAAATTTGTTGGAGTGTGATTAAAAAAAATAAACAGTGAAATTCAGGCAAGCAGACACATACTATCCAGTCTTGTATTTCTCAAACATGGTTTCTGAAAAATGACTCACCCAAGGTTGGAAAAAACGCTGTATCCATGGAAAATGACTATCTCTAACCCAGAGAATTATTGACAAAATAATCAAGCAAACCCCCAAATTAAACTTAAAAAGAGATACTTAAAGCTACAATGTGTATCGAACCATGCGTCCTTGGTAAGCAAACCCTATCAAGTTTCCTTTTTCTTTGTTTAGTGTCATGAAATGACCAAATCTTGCCACATGCAAAGGTGCCATATTTTTCATTCCAGTAGACCTTTATTCATAACATAAACTTGACTTAGTAGGCTCGATTACCAGCCAGCCCGGGAGACGGCGAAAATCGAGCCTAAAAACTTAGGAACCTGCTCCAACAGGAAGACAATATACAACTTCTAACAGATTTAAAATTCCCACTTCTCACAAGTACACGGCGTCTTGTAAATTATGTAAGTTTACGTTGTTTCTATTTCCTTTGTAGCAAAACACAAAAGGTCAATGTCAATTTTGATTAACTCTAAATTTAAGCTTAGAAGTTGATAATCATCTGTGGAGGTTCTGTGTAAATCAACTGACTCAAAAAAGATGACTTCTTTTGCTTCAGAAAAATTAAACATTAGGAAGGGTAGTTTTGTTGTTTTGCTCTCATTGCTTAATCTCATTGCAATGGCCCATCAAAAGAACCTGGGACAGAAGAAATTGTTCCATACGACTCTGATTCTCATACATTTTTGATCGGTTTTTGACTCATTCTTTCATTCCCCGCCCGCCACCCCCTTTCACCAAAGGAACAACAAAGGAACTCATTTCCACCTGTCTTGCTCGAAATTCAACATTGTTTGAGGTGAGAGGGGGAGGTCATCAGTTTTAGCAATAGCACGTGAAAAGTCCTATCATTTTTACCTCCATGGTAGGGCTTGTGATGTTCCATAACTGATGGAATTTTTATTGAGCCACACAAGACTTATTGTTGTTTGAGACATCAGTGTCAAATCTGCAGATGAGAGGTGCAGTTAGTTTCATGTTTTGAACCTACTGTCATGATAAGTAAACAGTTTTGGGTTCTAGGAATTGAGGGACCCATGTGAATGGTAGATTGACCGAAGAAACTCGTTGTGCGTCGCATCGAGGAACACCCGCTGCCATTGACATTGACAGTCAACACCCATTCTAAACATTATAGCCAAAACTTCACGCTATATATACGCTCTATTAACATACCGCACCCAAATCACATACCACTGATTCGTCTAGCTCTACTAGTTTTCGCCATGGATGTTCAACAGCTTTTTACAAATCTCAGTAAGGAAGCGGAATGCCCTCTGTGTTTAGAAACGGTCAATAATCCCAAGACTTTGCCATGTCTTCACTCATTCTGCGTCGAGTGTCTAGACAAACATGCAGGCTTCGCAAGAAGACAGCTTCAAGCGACAATCAAATGTCCGGTTTGTCAGACATCTTTTCAAATCCCCGAAGGCGACTCGTTCAAGAACTTGCCCACATCTTATCATCTCAACCGATTGGTGGATGTTCTCGCTCTTAAAGATGGCGGCACACAGGCCCAGAAATGCGGCAGTTGTGAAGAGAACAACACTGCTTCCTCTTACTGTTTCGTCTGCCAAAACTTTTTCTGCACTGCTTGCTCTGAAGCTCATCAACGCCTGAAGACCACAAGAGCTCATCGCAATGTGTTGATAAAGAAATTACAAGCGCAAGATGTTCAAGAGTTGATCCACAGACCCGTCATGTGTTCACAGCAATATCACGAAAATCAACCGCTGGAATTTTATTGCGAAGAATGCAAAGTTCCCATATGCCACAAGTGCAGTGTAGTTAGCCATAATCGACACACCATGACAGACACTCAGAAAGCCGCGCAAGTACAGAAGATGCAAATGAAGGACGCCTTAGAGAAAGTGGAAGCGAAAATTGCTGTGTGCGAAATGGAAGTAAGGAAGAAGAATGAGATGATACAAAAAAGCAGAAAAGAAGCTATGGCTGCAGAAAAGAAGATGAAAGACACTGTGAACGAATATATCTGTGAATTGCAGCAACACGAAAGGACCATGAACGACAAGTTTGCTGAAATTTATGAAGCGCAACAAAAACATCAATTAACGCAACTAGAAAATTTTGAGTTATTTTTAACTCAACTGAAAAGTTGCGTTGAGCGAGGTGAGAGTATCATTGAAAGAAACATCAGCGCTGAAATTGTGCAAACTAATCAGGCCATTATTAGACGCTGTGAAAACCTGCTAAATGGGAAAAAACCGGAAATTTATCGACCTTCCCATGTGTATTACGTGGTGGACAGGAAAGCGAATGCTTTTGATCGCATTCTGAGCCTAATAAGCATTAGTGATCCGTCGATTTCGTCACTTGAAGTCGAAAGTCAAAAAGATGTAACAGAAAAAACAGAAACAAATTTCTCCATTGTAACCAGAACTTCGGATGGGAAGCAATGTTATCGGGGACATGTTGGATTAGAGGTCAAAATTTTCACTCCAGCAGATGATCAACTAAAAACAGACATAAAAGACACCAAAGACGGCAAGTACACAGTGACATACACACCACAGTGTGTTGGACAACATAGAGTAGAGATCCAAGTTAATGGACAGCCGCTGACTGGTAGTCCCTGGTTTGTGCAGGTGATTCCGCATCAGTATCAATTTTCTTTTCAGTTTGGATCAAAAGGAAAAGAGCAGGGGGAGTTTGGTCATCCATCCTTAATTGCTGTAAGTGATAAAACTGGAAGGATTGCTGTGACCGATACCGAAAATGACAGAATTCAGATTTTTGACTTCGAGGGAAGATTCCTTGGAGTAAAGCTTCCTGCCTCTTTCGTATTTACTGGATCTGATGGCGACTTTATTTACTCAGTGGTGGAAGACAATGAACGAATTTTCCTGTGTACTGAAAATGGTCAGCACATCAGGAGCATCGACCGTAAACAATTAAATGAACCAACCTGTGTTGTTTTAGAAAATGATGGCCGGCTCATCATATGTGACTTAAAGGGCAAAAAAGTTAAAGTACTTACCCCTGATGGAAAACATGAACTTCTGTCGTTTAGCGCTCCAGGTTGTGATGTAGGTCCGGTTTATGCTGTTCATCATCGGGACAAATTCTTTGTTTCATATCCAGATGCTAACCGTGTCATAGCTTTCAACAACCGTGGAGAGTATGTCCATGACATTGGCAGCGAAGGATCTGGTGACGGGCAGTTGATGTTTCCCTCTGGACTCGTTGTTGACAAGTTTGACCATCTCATCGTTTGCGATACAGGAAATAGAAGACTGCAACTATTTACACTTGATGGCAAATTCATTACGAGGATATCAGAGAGCTTTTTCGAAAATGGCGGTCTTGCTTCTTGTGCCGTGTCTAACAATGGACATTTGTTTGTTTCTGACATCGATAACAACTGCGTTTATGTTTTCAGTTGCAGCTCTAAGTAAACAAACATTCCGCGTGTGCAGAGAACTCAAGAAATACAAAGGTGCCGGGTACCAGCTATTACTCTAAATAATTACCAAAATGATAAAATGTTTTTGAGTTTGCATCACTTTAGAGAAGAAGAAGAAGAAGAAGAAGAAGAAGAAGAAGAATACTTTATTTATCCACGGTTGTCTCATCAGGCATATCTATAATAATTAATTAAAATTTAAAATTTAAAATTACAAACAATTTTATATATTACTACTTTACTTATTTAGAAATATAAAATATAAAATATAAAACCCTGCTTTCCACGAGAGCCGTGCATTACTAATCTAAAAACTATAACTAATTGTAGTAAAATGACCCGACTACCGCGGCCCGGCTTTGAAGCTTTCTAGTGTTTTTGCTTGCCGTAACCCAGCTGGCAGACTATTCCAAAGCACCGCACCAGTATAGCTAAAGCTATTTTTCAAGCAGTTTGTGCGGGGCTTTGGAATATTTAGTTTTTGAGACTTATGCTATTAAGAAATGCATTCCAACGTCTGGTGCACCAACTTAAAAAGATCCCCGTCTCCATAAGACTTTAGAGTAAACTTTTGCTATTAGACCTTGTTACAAGTAGATTGTTTAAGGATGATCTTAGTTCCTAGTATAGTCTAATGAATCAGTTACTAGACCGTTGTATGTTATTCAAATTTTTCATTTCTATACCTTTCACTACATATGTCGCATCATTTTTAAGCTTTTCCACATCATACCGTTTTTGTATGTATATAGCTCCGCGCGGAATATTTTCTCATCCCTGATAATGCCACTGATAGTCGAAAGCGTGGATTCTAATTTCGGTTTTTAAAACAGCAGTTTAAGACCCCATTTGAACAATATTTTTATCTGCTAGGTGTATACAAGGTGTATATAAGTGCATACAAGGTGTATATAAGGTGTATACGAAGGAGTACACAAAGTTATAAGGTGTATACAAGGTGTATCAGGTCGATCATGTGCCCAGAGAAAATGCATTAGGTCCATTATGTGAATCAAAACAACTTGAAAATGAGACTCGTTTCCTGTTTCAATGTCAGAAGTATTCTGCACAGCGGCAAGCTTTCTCAAACAAAGTCCAAGGAATAGAACCTAACTTTGAGGAGAAAAAAATTCAACCTCCGGGACAAGTCCAGCATTTCGGGCCCGGGGCTGGGAAATTGTTTGTAGCGGTCCTGTTTCGCGTGCAGGGGGTAGGGCAAATAAAAAATATCTTCTCCTTGGTTTTGCGAGGTACGTGTTAGTTTTCGCGTGGTTTAAACGATGGCTGCGGACTTCAAGACTACGTGTTTTTAAGGAAAAACACAGGATCTTTGTCGGAGAGTTGTTGGAGAGGAATAACCTATCAAAATTAAAGTCTGTATTAAAAGGTACGTTTTAAAATTTGAAACGAATGGGCGCATGATGCGTACTCGAATGGATTTTATTTTCTGGAAAGGAAGGACATAAATATTTCTTCAGCTTAGCTTTAAATAATGATAAGTTTTTATATCAAAACGAATACGAGGTTTTTGCTATATAGAGAGAAACAGAGATTCCGTCCAGTGTTCTCATGAAGTGTTCTATCAAGGAGGCGCATTTTAAAGAGTTGTTCTTCTTCGTTTTCGTTTTCAAATCTATTGCTCATGTTTTAACTCATTATGAGATCCATTATCCCTGTCTCAAATTTAGAAAAAAGTTTATAAACTCAGGAAAACGTTAATAACAGTTGTGAAAACGTTTCTTTTTGCTTTTGTACGGAGAAAAAATATGTAGCAAAAACGTATTTGAGGTCGATCAGGAGCTCGGGGGTGGGGAATTCAGTAGACCTGCACCGTTCTAAACCTTTTATTTCAGTGATCCCCTTTAATTTGCACTTCCATTGTTTTCAGGGATAGGCGCATTGATATGTGACAATCCCTATTGTTTTCCCAGCTAACCAAAAACAATCTTTCAAATAGGTGCGGGATCGGGGAATTGTCTCCTTCTGTGTGCCCGGAGGTGGGGAATAGACCTCCACAAAAAAAAAAAAAAACCTTGCAAATGCCCTGGGTGGGGGCACATTGAACCGTGCATTATTTGCATCGAATTATAGTACTATTTGCTTTGCTTTGTAATTAATTTTAGAAATGAGTGAAATGAACATTAGCTTTTGTAATATCATACGGTCCTAAAAATAAAGCACTCTACTTCCACAAGGTGGTTATTTATAAATAACTATAATAGTACGCGTATGTTCTGATTGGTTAAAAACCTATGGTTTATTGTGCCGGTAAACTCATAGAAAACAAGCAATAGACCACACTTTCTACGGGTTTACCGTCGTGATAACCCACTTGGGATGTGGGAAGAACACTCGAAAAGCTTGTAACTCACTCGCCTTCGGCTCACAAGCTTTTCCCGTGTTCTCCCAACATCCCGCGTGGGTTATCACGACGGTAAACCCATAGAAAGTGTGGTCTATTGCTTAAAGAAAACTTCATGGAAAGTGCAGGCGTACAGAATTCACGCACGAGTTGTTGACGTATCAGAAATGGAACTAGTGAGCGCAGCGAACGAGTGAGATTTCTGATACAAAATCAACGAGTGCGTATATACCGTTCAAAACACATTCCAAGTGGTATTGTGTTTATTATATAAATACTGAGACATTCATCATTTTGGCAGCCTTTTTATTTCAAATCTATCCAAAATGCTAAAATTTGCCGCTACATACCGCGAAATGACAAACAAAACGAAGCATCAGCTTATCAGTAAAAACGTTTGTTAATCATTGAATATTAATGAGCCGGTAAGGAATGAGTTAATCCAAGAATTACAAGTAATGTTAACTTTTTTTCTGAATACACAATTAAAAATGAATGAATTTAAGTAAAATGGCCGGTTTTGGCGCGAAAATCACACACCTCTGTGACTTCTGATTGGACATATCATTTTTCTAACACGTGAAAAAAACATCTTTCGCTCCTCTGATTGGCAAGAACTCATTTGGGTATGAAAATTTACGACACGGCTTTTTGGTGAGTATTTCTCAGTATGTATAATAATAGAAGGTGTATAGTACGGGGTGTATATATTGTGTATACAAGGTGCATGTAAGGTGTAGACAGCTATTTCAAAAAACGTTGTCGGAGGAAGTGCAAAACGGCTTCAAGACAAGATTGTAAGTTACTGTGGGTAGTTTAAAATCTGTCTCTTGCTAGCAAAATTACAGTAATAAGCTAGCCGCTGATTTTTTTACTTATTATTATACTAAACCGTATGATTAATTTCTGAAAATGCTCATGGTAAAATTACGTTTCAGAAGATGGGCACCCTCGCTAGTTCCGATCTTTGAAGAGCAATTTTGTTTAGCTATTGCAGGGACCGCGGAGCAAGGTGAAAAGTGGGAGGGCTGACAATTGAAAATAATTTTTTCATATTGAAAATCGAAAAAAGGAACAAAATCAAAGTAGCTGATTTGTTTCTTTCGCGTGACTTTGCATATTTTATCCAGTATTTGTTGCTCTTTATACTTAACGAATATTAGTCAGAAACAACTCGCACTTCCAAAAAATGAAACTTTTAAGAATATATTGAAATGTTTACTGGTCAAACTCAAACTCACCATTTTCACTGCAAGTAGTTGTCGTCTTTTCTGCAGAGCTTACAGACTTTGACGAAGTCCCAGATAACTGTAATAAACGACCAACATACACGGTCAGTTCAGATTCAATGCAAGAAAAGACGCGATTACAATTTTAGTATACAAAATACTACACTGAAGTGATCTCAAAAATTTCTAACTATGGCCGTTCACTGTTCAAGTAATGTAATTCTTCTTGCAATCGAATATTTCATTGATTCGAAAGGAGAAAGACAAAATATAAAACTTTTATCAACTCAAAACAACTACTCACCTTCGTTTGGCTTGAAAAAGCTAGTAATTTTCTTCATTTCGTCTGATAAATAAAAAAAACTCTGCCGGAGCTGGAAGGAGGGCACAATTACCGCGAAAAGCACAGGAGCCCCCAAAAATGCCTGGCGTTTGAAATTAAAGAAAATACAGAGAATATAGCCGAATATAGACGGAAAAAAAACTTGTTTCAAGTCTTTTTTTATTTTAATTATTTTTCTTTTTAGCGCAAAAAGTGGGGGCGGGGGCGCAAAAAAGTGGTGGGGCCGCGGCCCCACCAGCCCCTCCCCCTCCGCGGTCCCTGTATTGAATTAACTTTATTTTATTGGTACAGTTTAACAATTTGCATAACTGGTTATGAAGTGGGCAAAAACGTATTATGGATTAATCTTTTTTCCGAGTAACTGTTCCTACACAAGTTTAAGATTAAGCTTGCAAAGTATGCTTGAGGTGATAGTGCCATAGTGTTTCACTGCACTCAGTACTACACAAGCGTTCTATGGTGGTAGAGCACTTTTTCCATTGTGTCAGAATGCATGGACAACAACGTTGCCTTTTAATAATCCCTTTTGATCGTTCAATTTTCCAAATAAAGACGACTTCACTGACTTCTCTGATGGAAATGAATTTTTAAGGATTTTTCAGTTAAGTCTGAAAAAAGGTAATTGTGTTCTGCTGTTCACTCTTCCCCATAAAACCTGAAAGGGAATTAGACGCCGTCGTTACTAAACCAGAAGGCAGGAGGTTTGGACCTTAACAACACACACAGATTGGATCCGTTTTTTATCTCCTCTCAGTAGAGTACAAACAAGAAGAGTATTTGGTGGGGTGCGTTTTGTAGATATCATTTGAGAAACTTATGCCCTCTCTATGTGTTCATGCACAGCAGATATTTTTGACATAAACTCTAAGAAAAGTTCCATCATTCTACATTTGACTTTGCAGTAATTAATGTCAAACAATAGCATGACGGTTTATCCTAGTTATTACTCCCTCAGTTGCTGAGAGGAGAAAACGAATAAAAGCAATCGGATTTCAGGCTATCCTAGACTTTGACATTGCTATCCTAGACTTTGCAATGAAAAACGAAAGTACCAAACTTAAGACCAGTCTTCACTTCATGCATAATTTATACCTTTTTTTAGAAATTCCAAGATATCTCGAAATTCCTCCTATAGATTTCTTTGAAACTTCGCATGACGGAAGACAACCACCCAAAGTATGCGCAGAATAAAGCTTTTCCAAAGATCAGGTAGATAAGGGCTGAAATTCGATTGAAACTTAAAACTATTGTGATGTCATTGCCACGTGATATTTATTCTGATCGCCCAAAAAATAACTTGATCATAATAAAGTTTAGTCTATGTGTAATATGGTTTTAACATAAAGATCAATTTGTTCAGGTAAAAGAGATTCAAAGATAGAAGGTGTCCCTCAGAATTATTGTATCAAACCGCCCTAAAAGATAAAGCACGAGAAAAATTTTGCCTTATGAATTTATTCATAGATAGGTGTCTCCCGCGGTCTTAACTGGTGGATTGAAACAGTTTTTCAGGGTCAATATCTCCCATGTTTTACCATAAACTACGTCGCCATGAACAAAGATTTGGAAAAATTGCCACCACAGCTGTATTAGAAAAGATGAAAATTTGTTATGATCAGTATTTGCGATGACATCGGATTTGTCATAGCAGCGAAATGACGCCGTTACCTATTTTACTTGCACAGGGACAGGGAACTATTTTTCCAAAATCGTTCACGGGAGCTTTATCCTCCAATAGCCGCCTCGATGTTTCTGAAGTTTTAGTGGAATCTGTAAGAGCGTTATCGAGCTATTTTGGGATAAAGTTTTCATGTTTAGAAATACAGTAAAAAATGAACAATCTTGTTTTTTGTGGTAAACGAGGCGCTTTTGACATACAATTTCATTTCAGAGTAGTTTTAATCTTTTTAAAAACGTGTGTGAAGGATCACGGAGATAGCTCCAGCCGATTACACAAAAAAGACACTTTGGTCTATTTTAACAAATTAGCAAATAATTTTAAACCGCTCGATAGATTTTTTTAAAAATTAAGATTCTCGAGATTGAGCGTCGTTTTAGGAGACCTTTGAGTCTCGAGATTATTGATATATTGCAAGGCAGTAAAAAAGGCCGGCTACAATTCGCTATTTTTTTATGGGAAGTTTCGTCTGTACAAGTGAAAGCCCCTCATATTATATTCAAGGTATCGTCTACAAGTTTCATTTTCACGTGAACAGCAGTAACTAACAATGCATTTGAAATATCCAAAACTGCTACATGTAGCTGTTGGTGTGCACGAGAATTTGAAACTTGGAGAGAATACCCCTCAATAAAGAGAAGCTTTCACTTGTAAACACAGACTTTCTGAGAAAATATTAGCGAATTGTAGCCCTTATTTTACAGCCTTACGATATATCAATAATCTTGAAACCAAAAGGTCATGTAAAAGGACAGTTAATCTCAAGAATCTTTAATTTTTTAAAAAAAAATCTATCAAGCGGTTTAAAAATTATTCGCTAATTTGTTAAAGTAGTCCAAAATGTTTTCAAAACCGCTAACAAGAGCGCCTCGATACATACTAAGGTTCTGATTACAAGGAGGTGGGGGATCCCAGATAGGTGAGGTAACCCTCCTTTACATGCAATCTTACAGCCCCGCCATCCCGGGGTGCACTTTCTCAAGATTATTGAATGGACGCTAAGCACGTAGACATGAAAAATGCTGGAAAACCACGTGTTTTGGCGATTAATGCTCTTCAACACTCACTTGCTGCTCTTGCTCCAACCTTCAGGGCTGTGGCTTTCTATTGTTACCTTTAATAATGATGCAAAGCCACCGCCAAAGTGATTTTTGCGCGAAATTGATGCGCGGGGGCAGCCACGAAACTGACCCCGGCTAGGCGGGTTACCCCACCTTGAAACGTTTACATGGCAAAATTTGCCCCGGCTGAGAGGGTAACCGGGTCTGGCAGACAGGGCCACCCGCCTTGGCGGGTCACCCCACCTATCATGTAAACGTGATCAAATTAAAATGAGAGATTATATGAACAGGCGGGTTACCCCATCTAAGCGGGTTACCTCACCTACCTGGGGTCCCTCACCTCCGTGTAAACAGGCCCTAATAGGCCCTTTGCTTGAGTTGAACACGTGATCAACTTTCTGTAAACACGAAAACAGTTCACTTTTGAACAATTTTAGTAGCACGAGCTGAAAGAGCATATTAAAATTAGGTAACCTGTAAATTTTCAGCCATACATCTCAAAAGTAGCGATTGCAACAGCCGCCAAAATTTTGAAGGATTTGAGTGCGAAAAACAACTCCCTCCACCCTTTCAAGTTTGAGTGGTTTTCCATCCAAATCCTTGTAAATCTAAAATTTTTAAACTGTCGTTAAATCTTTCTCTTACGCATTTATGGGCTCAAATTGTCTGTTATGAATTCAATGGAGATTTGAGCCCCGTAATGCTTAAGGAAATATTTCATGACAGTTTTGATAATTTCGAAATATACAAGGATTTGTATGGAAAATCATGAAAGCGTAACTGGGAGGCAATACAAATGCTTTCGGCAGCCATTGCAATCGCTGCTTTTGAGATATGCGGCTGAAAGTTCTCAGGTTACCTAATATTAATATGCTCTTTCAGCTTCTGTTAACAAATTTTTTCAAAAGTGAACTGTTTTCGTGTTTACCGAAAGTTGATCACGTGATCAACTCTTCAAAAGGCCTAATAAATCCTTCCCTTCTAGCAATCGGCTGGAGCTATCTCCATGATCTTTGACACACTCTTTTGAAAACATTGAAACTACTATGAGGTGAAATTGTATTTCAAAGCTCTTCGTTTCCTACAGATAACAGCCGAACATGAAGGTTGTCCATTTTATACCGTATTTCTAACCCCCAAAACTTATCCCAAAATATCGCGATAACACTCCTACAGATTTCGCTTAAACTTCACAAACACATCGAGGCGGCTATAGGTGGAAAAAACTCCCGTGAATGATTTTGGAAGAACAGTTCCCAGTGCCGAGAAAGACTGCTGCAAGTAAAATAGTTAATGGCTTCATTTCGTTGCTATGACAACTCTGATGTCATGGCAACCCTGATAATGACAAATTTTCATCTTTTCTAATACAGCTGTGGTGGCTATTTTTCCAAATCTTTGTTTATTAAGGCGTAGTTTATGCTAAAACTTGGAAGGCATTGACGCTAAAAAACTGTATGGAACCACCTTAAGTGTCGCAGAAGGTGATCTTTGAGTTCAGGTGATCGAAGTGAAATTCTGAGGTCCGAAAACAGTAAATAGCGATAAATCTAAACTTTTTGCGATAAAATTAAATCTTACCTTTGATATGTTCCTTTGTGTTTTGGTATGTATTCATCTTAACCTGTAGTTCGGCCGCCTCCTCTCATAAGCAACCACGAAGGGGTCGGTGGCGAAAACGTAATTACCGATGTGTCAATCTTTATCAATCTATTATCTGTCAGTTCATAGGGAAAGTACCTTTGTTCAGCAAATGAAGAGAAAAAAATTCTATTTTGCATTCACGCCTTTACAAAATGTTCAATCGGGAAGATTCACGATGTGGGTTGTGCAACAACCCACATCGTGGGTTGTGCATTTTGCAACAACTTTGTTGGGCAAAGAAATGTACATAAAAAGTGTGATGCACGTGCAAAGTTGATGTTTTGCATCGACAACAAAAACTAAAAAATGGATGTGTTTTGTTTTCAGTTTTTACTTGTTTGCTCGTTCTTGCCGTTATTGTTGCCGTCACTGTCCCCGTTGCTTAAGCTCTTCCTACCTGATAGGAAGTTACTACGTTTTCTCATAACTAGAGCTTGGGATGCCTGTGATCAGCGGAAGAATGTTGGTAGTGACGTCACTCATGCTAATTATTCATGCGGCTGCCAAGCCAAGATGGCGACAAGAAAGCAATTACACAGCAGTCACAGCTTTGACGCAGAGTCTTGTGAAGGGGGAAGAGAATTATTCGAGGCTTGTAGAAATGGTGACGTAACTAAAGTTCGAAGGATAGTCAACATAAATCCTAATGTGAACATTAGAGATACAGCGGGCAGAAAGTCCTCTCCTCTCCACTTCGCTGCAGGTAAGAATCGAATGAAAACAAACCGAATGGCCGAGGCGCATTGTTGATGTCAATTGCATTTCTTTAGCAAAGAGAAAGAGTAATTCTCTTTATTGAGAAATCATTCGATGTGTTTTTACTTCAAAATTGTCTATTCTGTTGCAACTTCTGGGCTTACGCTTGTGTTGTTTAGGGAATTCTTGAAATGTCAAATCGACATAGAATCATGCGAATCAACAACTACATTTATTCCACCAAAAACTGGCCGCCCTTTGTTGTAACTTAACATATTTTTCAACATTAGCTTCCATGGTAGGCGTGTACGGGTTGATTTATTGAGTTATAGTTGTTCATTCTTCGAGAAAAAAAGAACGATACAGTATCTTGAAGCGAGATGAATAGGTTAAATTTTACGAAATCTTCTCATGTTTTTGTTAAATGTACCTGTTGCAATTGAAAGGACTGAAGGTATTCACGTTTTTATTGCCTCACAAGTGCTGTATTATTGGATAAACCTTTTTATGAAAGGAGCATGAAATTGTTCTTCAAAAAAAAAACAATCGACTGTGATGATGGTTACTTTATTACAAGCAGTCCAGAAGTTTTCATTGTGGCCCACAAATGAGGACAAAAACAAACGTTTCAAAATAAACCTAAGAAGGTTTAGAAAAACCAGTGGGCTATTTAGAAGCTTGACCAAAGAACTGAATTCAGGATTACCATGAACAAATCAAGTTACATGTAGCAGAACGTGACATGTACAATGCAGGACTTTGGTTAAACACAGGGTAGGCCTTTAGATTCCAGGGCCCAGTTGTTCCAAAGGTGGCTAGTGCTATCCTCTGGAATCTCTATCCAGTAGTTAACACAACTGATTTCCTGGTGTGAAGTCGTTTCGCCTAGACTAAGTCGATTCGCCCAAAGCGTATTTGTCATTCTTTAAGCCTGAAAAAAGGGAATAAGCATAGAAAGACAAGGACCGCACATAAGGAATCCAAGGGTAACTAAAATAACATCTCAAAAGTTATATTCACCATGTTGTAGAGTGTTGTATGTCATTGGGCGAATCGACTAATGTCCTGGCAAACGCCATCGGGCGAATCGACTGTCGGGCAAAACAACCGCAACTCGATTTCCCTAATACTTATCCACTGGATGGTGATTTATCTGCTGGGTTGCGCTATCCAACATTTGAACAACTGGAGCCAGTGCTGCTTGGCCATGTTTCATGTACCTTTATAAAAAACAACAACAACAACAACACAAAGAACACACAAAAAAAAAACACGAAAGCAGGGATTCAAAGACAAATGCATGTTTCAGTTGTTAGCTAGACATCCTTTTGTAGCAGCAATCAACTACATTGTGTTCGAAGGAAATATTATTGTATCAAAATTTGTTGTAACCAATTTATCCAGATCAAAGTGTATAGAACTTGTATTGTGCACACAATGTGTCGTTAGAAAATGTACAGCATTACTGTATTTCTATTAAATATTATTATGAGAGAGAAAGCTTCTTCGCAAGAAGGGGAATAATTACATTGTATCCTACCTTATGTGGATAATTATCTTGTAAGAAATGGGACTTGAGTCCTTTAACTTTCTGCAGTTGTAAACGTCAAAGTTCAGCAAAGAAAATCCAAATTTATTTGTAAAATGCAGTAAAACAAGTAACACATCTACCTGTATATCAATGATGTAACAGCGCTGGCAAATTGGGATATTTCATTTGAGTAAACACTTCATTAGATTTTGTCCACAAGCCATGAAGTTGAACATTAAGAACCACCTTATTCCATAAGACTCCATCGAAATGAATATGTTTACCTTTTATTTTTACTCTACTAGAGAGAGTTTTTAATGGTAGCTGACAGTGTTTTTGATGAGGTGTTATTTAAAACTGCAGTTTTTCTATTCATTGAATAGGGTTTGGCAGAAAGGAAGTTGTGGAGTATTTGCTACAACACGGAGCTGATGTGCATGCCAAAGATGACGGTGAGTACTTTGTTATCCTTAATGTGTATTTGTCAGTTTTCACCACGATAAAATTTTTGCCTATTTTAGCCTGTGTTTCATCGTTGAGTGTCTTTGTGTTTGGTACATGTGTATTATTGTACTTAAAGTTGAGAATAGTTGCTACATACTAAAAAATTATCAATAAATTAAGATTCTAATTAACATTCTGTAAATACAGTATTGTTCAATAGTAATTTGAGTCTTGATTCTTGATTCAATTCTCAATTGTTCATAAGAGAATCAAGTATCGAGAATCGAGAAGCAGTCATGAGGAATTGAGTCTTGTGTGACAGATGGTACTGCATGTTGTCTTTGTGTACTAAACGCTGCTTACAGGGGCAGATCCACACCAGTTTCCACTGTTTTACGAAAATCTGTCAGATTTTTCATGATAAATGTATTAAAAAAAACTTTCCAAGTTGAAATCCAGAAATATAATGGTTTGGACAAATAAAATTTTTCGAATTTACTGGCATTAGACAAGCTATCCCGCCTCATGCAAGGAGCATGGAACTGGCCAATATCCTGTCTGAATTACTCAGAAACCAAGGAAAGGGGACTTTGGGGAGTTAAAATCCAGAAAATTTCTCATGGCAGCGTGCCATGGGACCCTCCTAGAAGCTTGTACCTTTGCCGCTCATTTACCTGTAGGAAATCGTCAGTATTTATCCTAGATCCCTCTGGCTCTGGTCAGGGGATACTCACAGAAAATTGCAAATGAAGTTTTAAGTGTGTTGTTACCATGAGAAAGGCTTTTGGTTTTGTTTGTTTTGTCTTTAATTCTAAATTTCATGTGAGGATAGAAATTTGAATGTCATCTGTTTTCCTTTGATCTGTGCTGTTCAGGTACAGTGTACAGTGTAACACTAGTCAAGTGTTTCTTTAAAGCCACTGGCTTATATCCTTATATTTGTAATGTTACTATTACCAATAGTCAAACTTAAAGCATGTTTTTTTGTCTTTTGTTTCATCAGGAGGCTTGATCCCTCTTCACAATGCTTGTTCCTTCGGCCATGCAGAGGTTGTCAGGTTGTTATTGCGACATGGAGCGGACCCAAATTCAAGAGACAACTGGAATTACACTCCTCTTCATGAGGCTGCAGTAAAGGGAAAGGTGGATGTTTGTGTTGGTAAGTCAAGTTGATGTGACATTAAATCCATGATGTCTTTGAATCTAGAATTACTACTGTACTTTTACAACAGATACATGTACAATGTACATGTATTATTTTGGTGACCACTTTACATTTTCATGAAGTGAGGGAATCCCTATACTCAGGGATGCAAATTAAGTTGGTCATCACACAATTTGTACAAAATTTTGCTGTATGCAACAAAATGTTTAATCTACCTACAGTCATATGTGAACTCACTGTGTTTGACTGCACTGAAAACAAATTCATGTAAGAAGATGGGGATTTTTAATACCATATTGAAACTTGCCAGGTTTATTCACATAATGTTAAGAAAAAATGGCTTAAATTCCTGGCAATAAGGAAAATTGTGGAATTTTCGGCAACCACCTGAAGTTGCAGAGCATTACAAAAAGTTCCACCTCTATAAATGTATCTCAAGGAAAAATTGACTAGCAATACTGGGAATTTAAAGGTCAGGGAAAAAGCTAAGCTTCTTATATGCAATTCTTGATTTTTTGAGCCTGGGATATAAACTGGAAATCACACCTTACAGCTGTACATGAAAGTGTAAAAATTGAAACCTATCCTTAAATTTGCAGCCCTGTGCCCAAAAGAAAATCATCTTGCATTACAAATGGCATCCTCTTTTTTACAACTATTAGTAAAGGATAGTTGTTACAAAGGGATGCACAGAACAAAGCTGTGAGTGGCTCTTTATGCAGACTCAAACTCTCCTTTTGTTCCATTAGCACATCAAGGCAATTTGAAGGGGAGAAAGTGGGAGTTAAGAAGAAGCTGCTTAGGGCTTGTTTTCTTGCACTCCTGGTCTTACTGTCTGTCGGTGTAGTGTAATATTAATTTTAATGACATGAACTTTTTCATTTTGTTAGTTCTACTTCAGCATGGTGCAGACCCCAACATTCGAAATACAGATGGTAAAACAGCATTAGATGTAGCTGAAGCATCAGCTAAATTAGTCTTGACAGGTATTTATAACAACATTGTTCTTCATCTTTCACAAGCTTCTAATAATTAAACCCGTGGCCTTGATTTCGCTCATTATCATCCCATTTCATTTTCCTTTAAGGTATGACATTACTTTCATTATTTTACAGTACTCCTAATGATGTCCCAATGATTTGAGCATTATCAGTTCGCTTGTTTCTGCTTTTTATATTAATTTGTTTTCCCTTACAACTGTAGCACAATTAATACTTTGCCTCATTGAAAATGATGTTGTTATTTTCCAGCTCATGTCCTTCCTTTGGATGAGTGCCGGGGAAACAAAAATATTAATTTTGTTTTGTCATAACGTAAACTTTGTTTTCATTGATGGGAGTACATGTATGTTGTAACAACTTTAGTTTGAATGCTCCTTTTGTGTCAGTAATAAAGAGTCAGGCATGATCTTTTGTCAAGTTATTTCACAACTTTTAAAACTTGTTATTCTCGCTATTTATAAATAGGTGAATACAAGAAAGATGAACTCTTAGAAGCTGCAAGGTATGATGACTTCCCCTTCCCCTATAGTTTGAAAAAAAAAAAAGAAATAGCTGTAGGAAATGGCTGTATGAGTGGTAGACTCATCAGACTAAGGATCTTTTTAGGTCTGGAAAGAAACTTGACTCAGTACCAACCCCATGGGGTGGGGGGGGGGGGGGGTTACAGCTGTACAGTGTACTTCCTACTAATAGGCTAATGGGGATGTGCAGCTGGATAGGGTTGCATTTTCACAATTGGGGCCTGTTTCTCAAAAGAGCCTGTTGAGTAGTATCACAGTTCCTAGCTCACAAACCGGTCAATTTTGCTTTGTTAGTTGATAGTTTCATTGTATCATTTTCAAAATTTTTGAAACTTTGATTTTAAAGGCAAACATGGCAAACATACATGTAAAACAGCTTTTCGGGCCCGAAACGTTATCGAGACTTTCAAGAAACAGGCCCCTGGATTGACTATCATGGGGATGCATTTTCAATAATAGTTTCTAGAGTGGGGTGGCACATTAATTTTGTGAGATTTGGGGGTTAGAAAATTCTGGTACACACTGCCTGTAACTACATGTAGGGAAGATTTGTGGTTAAAAAGTGAAAGAAAGTGACGTTAGTTGGGATCGCAAAAACCACTTTTGCCCAAAAGTGAGTAAGATAGGGTCTATAATTGACCACAGAATAGACCATTTATAGTGAAGACGGGGTTCTGAGTGAGAGGCTAGTGGCACATATCCAGAAAAAAATTTGGCCCGAGTTTCCCCCTCCCCTGACTGCTGGGTTTAGTATATATATCTTCTCCAAGTGGAAGTAGCAATTCACTTAAGTGTTCCTTGCTTTAGAAACCAGCTCTCTGGCCAAGTGGCATTACATGAAATTTGTTGTGTGCCTTTACCTTTATCTAAGAATTTAAGAAAGGACTTCATGTCATGTTGGAATTTCTTTGTTTAATTTTTGTTCTTTAGAAGTGGCAATGAAGAGAAACTCATGTCTTTACTTACACCACTGAATGTCAACTGCCATGCCAGTGATGGTAGAAAGGTATGTTAACAAAATTTTCCTTCCAAAGATCAATCTATTAAATTTTGAATATCAACAGTTTCATGTAAAACTGTTATCATTGCAAAATTTAGGCTGCAGTCAGGATAATCATGACACCTTCAAACAACGGTCTTTTACACCAAAAGTTTTGCTGCTCTATGTCACTTCCAAATAAAAACAAAATCAGATAAGCTACTTGTAACTTTATCTGAGCTACTACAACGATTCAAAGAAGGCCTCAACAACAATTGGACAAAGAAAATATGGATAAAGTTGTAAGGATATGAAGTTTAACTTGGAGATTTTTCAGAAAATAGTACATGTAGATTATAGTATGGAATTGTAGACTTCTTTGAAAACTATCTCCTTTTGAATGGTGGCAACTATCTTATGTTCAAACATAAAGGGGACATAATTGCCATTTTCGGGGATGTACTACAGTATACTCAGAAGTGGTTAATTAATTAATTAATTAAGTTAATTAGTTGATGATCTTAAATCTATTAATTTTTTGTAATTTTTCAGTCAACTCCTCTACATTTAGCGGCTGGTTACAACAGAGTCAGAGTAGTTCAGTTGCTGTTACAGCATGGAGCTGATGTCCATGCGAAGGATAAAGGGTAAAAATCAATGATTCTTACCTTGCTTACATATCACTTCATTTTTGATAAAACAATGTACTTAAAATAACTGTAAAATAAATTCACTGCACAGCCAATACAGAGAAAAAAGGACAGGAAAGAAAGTGAAGAAAGTGTAGAGCTGCGAGCAAGTCTTGAATGATTTTATTATTTTACGTCTGAATAGCTGCAAACATTTTTTGCAAATTTTTGAAGTTACTTTAGATGTGAAAATTGTTTGAGAGATCGCAAAGTTAGTCAAGCCTACCCTCATTATTACTTAATACACTGTATGTACTGGATCTTAATCTTCAACAATCATAGTGGCACCTTTTGACCGTTTGTGGAGGCAGAGGTACAATGTACAACGTACAAACATGTACATAAATACGTAGCACTTAGAAGTTTAAAATTCCTGTTTGTACTAAGTACAGAATTGATCCATTAGCCTTTGTACACATAATAAATTATGTATTTATTTAAAAGAAAAATGTTTTTGAAAATATAAACTCATTCCTTTTCTCAATTAATTTTTTGTTATGTGTTTTTAATTAGTGGTTTGGTTCCTCTCCACAATGCTTGCTCTTATGGGCATTATGACGTCACTGAATTATTGATCAAGGTAAGTCGAAAAAGGTAATTACCATCAGCCATATTAGCCACAGGTTGTCTAAAACAACCTGTGCTTGCCACTTCAAACACAAAATAATATTGTTTTTGAGCTGCTTGTGTTTAAAATGGGATCAGCTAGTTTTTGACCAGTCAATTACATGTATAATATAGTGGAAGACATAGAAATGTGAGAGTGTTGTTTTAATGAGCTTTAAGCTAATAGTTCACCTTTAATGTTGTGATTATTGTTTATAGTGTTCTCTTGCAGTGTAACTGTTGTGATGTCTTGACCTTGTTTCTCTACATATTCCTTCATTTACAAGTTACAATGAGTGAACTTTGAATATTAATGTTTGATTTTGCTCTTTAGCATGGTGCAAGTGTTAATGCCATGGATCTGTGGCAGTTTACCCCTCTTCATGAAGCAGCCTCTAAAGCGAGGTATGCAAGTGTAACAGCCATGATAACTACACTGTAAATGTACATACTTTATGCTGGAGTTAGGCATGCGCAGTTATTTACTACAGTGGAACCCCATTAATATGGTGACCACCCGTATTAACGGGGTGGCTGTATTAACGGGTAGGCTCAAATTTAATGACCTGAGGGCCATAATAAAAAATACACCACACATTGCATTCACTGTACTACTCTCAGTAATAAACAACCAGAATGTAGATAATGCGTACAGTAATTGAAAAGTCTTAATGTGGTGAAATTATAAGGGATTCTACTGTTTGGGTTTTTATTTAACAGGTGATGGCATTAACAGGTTTTTTTAAAAGGAAATGCATGGCTGTTTTGCTGGGCCAAAAAAAACTGGCCGTAAGGCTAGTTTTCCCTAGCAGCAAGGTTAATTGGTGCTGGAGCCGTAATAAGCTTCACTGTGAAGGTGCAGAGGGTTATGTTTCTGTGAGATTTTGCTTGCTTGCCGAAGTCCAGACTGGAAAGTACAATGTGCCAAATTACTTCATAACATTACCTTTTTATCAGGAAACCCTTATTACCGTAGGTACTTTTTATAGATGCAGATGGTTATTCAAACTTTAATTATTATTGTTATTTATTTTTGTCTTTTCTCTGCCACTAGAGTGGAGGTGTGTTCCTTGCTTCTTGCCCATGGAGCTGATCCTACTTTACTTAATTGCCATTCCAAGGCAGCTGTGGATGCTGCGCCAACAAAAGAACTTCAAGATAAGCTTTCGTGTATGTTCAGTTTTTTGTTTGATCTCTTTCTACTGTCACGGCCAAAATTAATATCCGATACAATGTCTGATATAGAAGTCACAGCAAAAACAGTTTTTGAACTGAGGTCAAAATGTTCGATGCTTCCATTGAGGTTTCTTGGAAAATGAAATGCATGGGAAGGAGAAAAGAAAATAATTATGCCAGTGCCATCATGTCATTTTCATGGTGTGTACTCTTATTGACCATAGCTATCAACCTGAACCATTGGATGAGAAATTGCTCAATATTATTATGGTAAAAAATAGTTACTTGATGCCTTCATATTCTTAAAACAGAAGTTGTATGGAAATTGAGGGTGGCATTAGTAAAATAAATTCTAAGTGTATCCTGGGTGCTTACCATTGACACAAACCACATGGGTGGAAATCTTGTACATATACAAAAACAAACAATGGTTGAAGAACAACCGCCACAAAGTACATGTGTATCCAAATCACCTGAACAGACTAAGAGCAGAAACATGGCATCACCTGAAATCACAGCCCATGTTTTCTTAAGCTTCCCAAATCGAATGGCACAAACCATTTCATTTTCCAACCAGAATTTCTGGTTTTATCATGTAAATTAATGGTAAGTTCCCCTGTACTCACATCCTTCCCTCTTGAAGCGTGGAAAGTCCGTGTTTGTTGTCATCACAACATGAAAGCTCTCTACACTTGCACTGATTGTTGTTGCTCACTTTTCAAATTTCTCTTAATCAGTTGAATTTAAGGGCCATCAACTGTTAGAGGCAGCTAAATCCTGTGACTCAGCAAAACTCAAGAAACACATAACACCAGAGATTATTAACTTTCAGCACCCCCTCACATTAGAGAGTTCCTTGGTAAGTTCTTTCTTTAACCCTTTAGACCCTGATATCAAAATGTAAATTCTCATTTGTTGTCTCTGTACACTTCCTACAGAAGTAGTGGCGAGAAGTTGTTAGAGTGTCAATCCCTTAATTCTTGCGACCATAATGTTTTTTGGAGCAAAGATATTACAAGGAGAAAATTGATGCTGATCACACTTATAGCTTAAAGGGTTAAGGTTACTATACAGTAAATGTAATTAATAGGCCATTTTATGATTAAAGATGGAAAAGAGGCTGGAGTTATCCCTGTCTTGATCAACCCTTCCTGCTTTATTATGTAAATCATGTTCTTATGGTAACTAGTATTTTTCAAGCATAATTTTCATAAGAAAACAAAGAGGTTTGGATCAAAACAAGGTCAAGCTCAGCCCCACATTCAGTTGAAGGCTAAGGACGGTACTAAGCGCGCAACTCTGAGGACTGTAGCTGTGACTGTAAATAAATTGTTTTTGTTAAACTTCACAATGTCACCGTTTGATAACATCTCTGTGTTGTGAATGTTCTGGCATTGGGTTTGCTTGAGAGTCAAGTCTGAAGGATTCCTTAATCACAGAATAACCATAACTTGGTTTTGCTCAAGCTGCCTACATGTACATATATAGTTTTTCTCCTAATTTGGTAGTTCCAAAGAGACTCTATCACCAACAGTGAACCTGCATATAGAAAGTACAGCTGTACGTTTTAAAGAATAGGACTCCCTGAATTTTTGCTTGTTCTCTTTGTACTGGTTTTCCAGGAATTTAATCTCTTCTTGTTGTTTTATTTTGTAGCATCTTGCAGTAAGTTCTCTTTGTCCAAAGAGAAAAGCTGCAATTGAATTACTGCTGAAGAAAGGCGCTGACACCAACTTACAAAATAAAGAGTAAGGAAATTTTCTTGTTTTTTAATAATATTGTTTAAACATTTTGTGTGTCAAAGCTATTCTTTGGTGGTCTCCATTCTTTGTTTTCAGTTCTTTGACACCCCTCCACATTGCCTCAGAAAAATCACATACTGATGCCATGGAACTTTTAATTAAAAATGGATCCAAAGTAAGGAGCAATTATAACAATTATTATTGTTTTTTGTCTTATCACATACAAAACTGTAGCTAGATGTGTTATGTTTTTGGTATCATACCTGTATGCTCAATAATTTAAAAGTATTAAAACCTCTGCATGTAGTTGCTAAGGTCATGATTCTAGACTTACATTGTTTTTATAAGCTTTTTAAGATCCCTTGCAATCAGTTCCACTATTTTTTTTTAGGAGTTGCTTATTACCATTTTAAATCACCAGTGTTATTGTTGTCATTTTGCCTCAGTAACGTACATGTAGGGAAGTGCAATGCTTATTCTTCTGTCATTATTTTTGAAGTGCATTAATGCATTAGAATTATTACGCAGGACTTGGCAGATGTAGCATTGTTCACATTTGAATTTCTGTGAATTGCACAGGTGAATGCAGTTGATGCACTTGGAGAAACTGCCCTTCATCGAGCTGCAGCAGCTGGCCAGATTTCAGCATGTCGTGTGTTAATCACACATGGAGCAGATGTCAGTTTGCGGTCATTTCAAGGCCATACTGCAGCAGAGGTGGCTTCAGAACCTGTGCAAAAAATCCTACATGGTAAACAATCAAATCTTTTTTGTAACAACTAATCTACGGCTGTATTTCTAGTTCACTCTTATTTCTTTTGACTACAGCGTGTCTCTAATATGCAGAGACTTGTAACACAGGTACAAAAACACTCTGTGTGTAATATTATTATTCTTAAACTTGTTTTACAGAGGAACCACCTTCAACTGGATCTGAAATTGAGAAACAGCTGCTGGAGGCTGCAAGATCAGGAGACATGGAAGTTGTTAAGGTATTGAAATAATCTAATTTAGTCAGTATGAATGTCCAGTCAGAACTTTTCGCTACCAATGTTACAATGGGTGCCAGTGTGTTCATGATTGTTGTCTTTTTTGTTTTTGTTTGAGAAGAATGTGTCACTGAATGTTAACTGGTGATTTGTTGGTTCTCCCCTTTGCTCCTGGAGGTTTTTCTCTGTGTACCACAGTTTTCCCCTCTCCTCAAAAACCAACATTTCCAAATTCCAATTCGACCAGGAATCAGGTAGAAGAAGAACCACTAAGAGGATATGCTACATGTACCTCGAAATCGTTATTTAATAATATTTATTTATTCATTTACAAATTGGCACAAGGAAAACATTCTCTTTTAATTTGTTATTGGCATTACATTCTGACAACAGGGCTACTGTTCACTTTTAAATCATGTCTAAAAGGCACTACATGTAATAATTTGTGTATCCTTATATGGTAGTACAGTGTATTGTTGAATGGTGGAATGAAGTACAGACAATTTAATTTCCTTTTTTGTGTTTCGCCATAGAAATTATGTACACCCCAGACTGTAAACTGCAGAGATCTTGAAGGAAGACACAGCACCCCACTTCATTTTGCTGCTGGTTACAACAGAGTTACAGTAGTGGAATATCTGCTGCAGAATGGAGCTGATGTACATGCCAAGGACAAGGGGTAAATTGACTAAAATCAATGTAAAACCTTTAATACAATCACAAATAATTACTTACAGCTGTGGCGGCAACACATTATTTTTCACTGTATGCACTTGACATTATACATCATCATTGTGGTGTCAGTGGTCTCTATTATACAAGGTTGTCTTTTAGGTGATATGGCGATTTTGGGCCTATTCCTCACGTAGTATTATCACTGTCAGTTGCACAAGGTGGTTTAACTTTGTGTATTTCTTTGGTTTCTATTTCTGTTAGAGGATTGGTCCCTCTCCATAATGCTTGCTCTTATGGTCATTATGAAGTGGCTGAACTCCTTGTCAAGGTAATACATCTTAGAGAATGTTTTAGTTGTAGCTGGTGCATGAAAGATTTACCGGTAGTCTGAAATGTCATCCATCTCTTCACCCCACCCCCTCCAACAGGAGGGCAGGCCTCCCATTAGTGGGGGGGGGGCAAAGAGACAGATGACATTTCAGACTAGTAAGACTTATTTGATATGACACCATGATGAGTTTATAATTCAGGTGTAGAGTTACTCATCTTATGTAAAATAATGACAGTTTTACCTGAAAGTAATATGATTTTCTGGGGTGAAATGTTTTGCCAGGTTTGATTGATTCTTGTTTTAATCCATGTTTTAGTTCAATGTGTAGTGCAGGTTGTTAACGTCTTGTAATACTATTTCAGCATGGTGCTGTGGTGAATGTAGCAGATTTGTGGAAGTTTACTCCTCTTCACGAAGCCTCAGCAAAAGGAAAGTTTGAAATCTGCAGACTTTTGCTCAAGGTAGGTCAGATACAGTATTCAATTGTACAGTAGTGTTTAAAAGAGCATTTTTTGTTTCTTTTCGAAACAATTGGAACAGTCAACCTTCTTCAAATGGTTGCAATGTCCACATATCGTTTTCCAAGCTATCAGCCTTAAGTCCCGTGGATCCCGTTTCTCGAAAGGCCGGTAACTTTTTGGGTCAAATTTTGACATCAAAACCTGTTGAATAGTAGCACAGTTTCAAGCTCACAAACTGGTTAATTTTGGTTCATTAACTGATAGTTTCATTGTATCATTTTCAAAATTATTGAACGTTGATCTGGAATGCAAACAACAGCTTTTCGGGCCTGAAACGTTATTGGGACTTTCAGGGAAAGGACCCCTGGTTGCAAATCAACAGGAAGTAAATGCTTATGCACTTGATGATGAGTATTACATTATTATTTTTTTTTATTTTAGGCAAAAGCTAGCGCCCTCATTCTTAGTTGCTTTAATCCCCTGGGCATTGACTTCCAAAAACAACAACAACAACAACAACAGTTGATTCAATTTGAAAATAATCTGAAATTGTGTTACCCGCAATGAGCGGGTCTTCTCTCAGTCGCTGTCCAGAGGTGGTCGTACGTAAAGGTTCCACTGTATAATTTTAAGTAATTAAATAGTTACAAGGAAGTTTCATGTTTTTTACTTTAGGATATTGTTACATTGGCATCTGTATTTTTTGTTTGTTTGTAACAGCATGGAGCTGATCCTCAAAAGAAGACTCGTGATGGCCAGACTCCATTGGATCTTGTGAAAGAAGGAGACACTGATGTGGCAGACCTACTAAGAGGTAAAAACATTCTTCTATCCTTTTACGCTTATAGTGGAATGTAAACTGATCCCTACATATAATCCTTTTTTAAGTCAAAAAAATAAAAACACAGCATGGTGGTTTGTTTGATTTGCTACCTTGTATTTCAGGATATTAGAACCAAAGTACAGCTAGTTTTTTTTTTTTTCATCATTGTGGTGGACACCATCATCAGCTAAACAAAATGAGATGCTCCACATGTACACGAAGTGAAGCTTTATTCTGCTTCAAAACTGTGTGCGGCTGACCTGCGTACACTGTACGTGCACATTGTACACAAAGCTCATTTTCTGACTGCAGTATCAAACAAGCTCTCAAGCTCTAATCAAAATGCTCTGAAGGTTTCTTTCTTTTACAGTTGGTGCGTTCTCATTTTCAGTGGCAATGTTAACAGTAATTGATCTTGCTGATTTTCAGCAATTATCAAACCAGCCCCCAGTCCAGCAAAAACTGATTATTTTTCTTATCATTTCCGTAGGTGATGCTGCTTTACTTGATGCAGCAAAGAAGGGAAATCTAACAAGGGTATGTACACAATACTGCTCTTTAGCATCTGGTTTTCTGTAGTAACATCAGCTAACCTAGCCTGAGAAAACAGCCGACATTTGTCGGCGCTACTACTGGTTTTCCCGCCAAATGACGTGTGAGAAACGAGCGCAGAAATTCCATACTGATGACGCGTCATCAGATCTGGGTAGTGCTTCTCATTGGTCGAGCCGTATGCGAAATTTGATTCAACCAATCAGAAGCACTACCCAGATCTGGGTAGTGACGCGTCATCAGTATGGATTTTCTGCGTTCGTTTCTCAGACGTCATTTGGCGGGGAAACCAGTGGTAGCGTCGCCAAATGTCGACTGTTTTCTCAGGCTACAGCTAACCTCTTTTCATAGGGTTTTGGCCATGAATTCAAAACTGAGTCAAAGTAACAAATGTTCTCACCGTAAAGTGTAAAAGTTAAGTTGGAAAGTCGTAAGTAAAGCCATATCTTCGTGTTTTTGTTCTGTTTGTGCAGGTCATGAAACTCTCCACTCCAGAAAACATAAACTGTCGAGATACGCAGGGACGTAACTCCACTCCATTACATCTTGCTGGTAAGTTAAACTCAATCTAAAAACCTGAAAAAAAAAATAGCCTGGAAGTTGAACCGCTTCTGTGCGCGGCGTCTTCACTTTCCTCACTGTACTGTTTTTCTAGCATAGTATCCTGGGCCCTCAGCCATCCCTGAAGGACATACAAGTTTTACCTTATGTATTATGTACCTTATATATTGACTGAAACAACAACTATGTATCTAACACTAGTCCCCCTGCATTACGCTTTCATTGCATTTAGTCATGCTCAAAAAGTGCCTATTTCTGAAATGGCAATAGTTAAAGTCTCTCTCATGATTACTGAAGTAGATTTGGCAAAGGCAATGCAGTGTTTAATGAGAAATGCTCTCCGACGTTCGATTTGTCGCTCTGCCATTGGTCAACGCGGTTTTCAGATGTACTCGCGCTGTCTTCACTGCCCTTACTCTTTAAGACGTTACAGAAAAAAAGACGGTAAACCCTTACGTGACAAGCGTGACAAGTATTATTATTATTCAAGAATTTTTCAGCCAAACTTCACATTCCAATCCTTTAAATATATATTTTTTTGTTTGCAAAATAAAAAAAACAATGATGTTAAGAGACGATCGCGACAAAACACGCAAGTAATAGCCTTGTCACGTTTGTCACACAAAAATGTTGTAGTGTTCTCTTCTTGTGCTGTCCTGCTGCCTCACGTACAATTTTAAAAGGAGTGACGTTTACGACTAACGGCAAACGTCAATTTCTACCACGTGACCAAGTTTTCCCGTACTTGTCGTTTACTGTTCATGATTTGACAAAATTGGTAGTTTCAGGTCAGTTTTATCCATAAGAATTGTGTTGGACTGTTTTATTCGCTTATAAGCTGTTTTGAAAAATTCTCAACTTGAATCTAACGTTTGCCGTAAACATGACTCTCTAATGTCTTTGCTAAATCCTCCACAGCTGGGTATAATCATTTTGAAGTGGCTGAATATATGTTGGAAAGTGGAGCTGATGTCAATGCGCAGGACAAGGGTGGATTGATCCCATTACATAATGCTTCATCATATGGGGTAAGTCTTACAATCTTGCAAAGAATGCGTGAAGCAAAAATCAAATGAATCAGGGTGCAGGTGCATAAAAGACTTCTCAGAAAATAATACAGTCATAAAAATGTTCTAGTCAGTCAGTTGAAGTTTACCTGAAGAGGTAAGTAATTGATTTTCTTTGAATGTGCGCTGTAGTCCTATGCAACAGTGAATCGAACACACTTTACTGAACTGTGATTATTGTCCAAGTCCTAATTGCTAGTGGCCTGTGTGTTTGCCGATTGAACAGCTCATAAGTAAAAGTTTCTTTATGGCAATGTTTTACTTGAGGGAGGTAGAATAATATTCGTCTACATTGGTTGTGGTTCTAAAAGAAGTCCTGGGTTATTTTCTTGCAGCATGTGGACATTGCATCTCTTCTGATAAAGCACAATACTGATGTCAATGCCACTGATCGCTGGTTGTTTACCCCTCTTCATGAAGCTTCCCAAAAAGGGAGAACACAGCTTTGTGCTCTTTTGGTAAGTGACAGACTTTATAAAATTGCATTTTCAGGGTTTTCTATCGGTATTGATTACAATAGATAAACTAAAAGGCTACACATAAGAGTTGCCTTACCCTGTGATCAGAGTTTCTCTCTTGCATGGCTTTAGCGTTAACGAAGTCGTTCGCGGCGTGGCTTGTCAGTCACGTAGTTGGTTTGTTTTATACGCCCCAGGGCGTAGAAATAAAAAACTACGCGACATCAAACCCGCGCGAACGACTTTGTAAGCGCTGAAAGCCATGCAAGAAAGAAACTCTGCTCGCAGGGTAAAAATGCCTTTAAAATGCCAGAAAATTGTTTTACCAATAATTTCAGCGTTTACCGCGGGTTGAATTTTTGTGTGTTAAGGTGACTCGACCCAGTTTTTTTGGGGGGGTGCCATTCTACTTTGAAGCTCTCTGGCATCCCCACCTTTACTTTTATCGTAAGTCTAACACATAGAATGGATAACATATAGAACAATCTACAATATAACATAAAATTTTTGGCGATCGGAGTAAATGTCACGTGGTTATAATGCCACGCCCCTTTGAGGTCTGAGTCGAAAATCGGCTGTTGCCGGTCATTTTTCCGTGAAAATCTCTCGGCTACACATAGTGCGCATTAGTGCCTTGCGCTGAACAGAGTTTCACCAAAATTGCAAAGACCCAATTCGAGAAATTCAGCAGTTTCCAAATTTAGGTCATAATTTATGCGAAAATAATAAGCAAACTTTACACGGTTTATATCTAATAAACCAAGAGATTCATCCCTTTATTTTGGGCATCGTTATAACAGATGGGTCCTTGCAAGTCAGCAAAACGCTTTAGGGCCTTGTAAATGCGCGCGATTTCGAGCAAAGCAAACATATAGAAATTATAGTTTTCGCTATTTATTGACGTTTGTCAGCGTTTAAGAGTCCTTCTCACGAAAAAAGCATTTTCTTAAAAATTCGTAGTTTTTTTTCCTTCAAATTTTTTCAGGGCCACAATTGATTAACTAATTACCCGGACTCTGAATTTCATGGTCATTGAAAAACTGTGACATTATCTTCTACAAGCTCAAACTTGAGTAAACATTGAAGATTTTTAGCGTTTTGGCTGAGTTTGTGCTTTGGGAGTTGTCTATTGTTTCTAGTCTGTCATTATACACCATTCTTGTTCAGCACGCGTGCAATGACCACGCTTGGCACGACTCGTGACGGGAATATCTCGGTGAGCATTCGGAAGTCAGCTCAGACCTCAAAGGGGCGTGGCATTATAACCACGTGACATTTACTCCGATCGCCAAAAATTTTATGTTATATTGTAGATTGATCTATATGTTATCCATTCTATGTGATAGACTTACGATAAAAGTAAAGGTGGGGATACCAGAGAGCTTTAAAGTAGGATGGTACCCCCCCCCAAAAAAACTGGGTCGAGTCACCTTAAAAATGATAATTAGAAATGACTGTTCATACCATCACAGTAAATCTTGTTGTCTAGGTAGGCGTTATGATCATTTCCTTATTTTATTTGAACCTGATATATTTGGTGTGCGTACAGTACATAGTTAGGAGATAACTAACTAGTTTGGGGCTGACAGAATATTTTGGTTGCTTTAATAATTTGCAGCTGGCCCATGGCGCAGACCCCACAATGAAGAACCAGGAAGGCCAGACAGCTTTAGATCTTGCAATGGTAAAATCTTAAACCTCGCTAATAGAAAACCATAGGTATATTCTCATTGTAGGTTGTGTGATGATATCCACAAGGGAGTTTGCACTTTGTGTTTTCATACGTTATGCGTACGTATTATGCTCTTAAATGAGACAGATTTGAAAGAAGCAGTTTCCTAGTGTAACATCACATAGAAAAAGAAAACATACAGTGGAAAGGCGAAAGAGGTCTATATGATAGAGATCTATGTATAAAAAAATTGTTTCATCTAGTGAATTTTGAGGTGAATTCAGTGGACTCTGTCATTAGAGACCTTTAGATTCTAAGACAAGGACGACTACGAGTACCTGATTTTCTTAATACTAAGTAGTGTGCGCTCGTGAGGCAGAATCAATTTGGCGTGTAAAGGTGTTAGCCATCGTCATTCTACTACTACTTTTAGCGAGAATGTCGTAGTGGCGGAAGCAAGTTGTCAAATGATCTCAAATGTTAGACGTTTTATCATTTTGCGATCAGGTTGAAGGGGGCGGGGGTGGAGTTTAACCTCCTTCAATAAGAAAAGCAGTGCAAATATTTCTGGTGAAGAAAGTACAATGAAGTATTCAATTCCAGGGTATCTATTTTTTCACAATACACAAAGAAAACTTAAAATGAAACATCTCAGATTCCACAACTGACAGCAGGTATACTGTTGTGTTAACATGTACATTTGATTTTGATTGACAGGCTGAAGATGTGAAATGCCTGCTGAGTGACGCCATGATGGCATACGTCGCTCCCGCGACTCCCAATGTGACGTCACCACCTGCTACTCCAAACAGCAGTAATAGTTCACCACTCTCTCCAGCTAATGCCAGCCTGCTGGCCAACAGCCCTGCAGGCTCAGGCGATGGAGCTGTCAATAAGAGGTCTATTTCAGAGGCGCAAGGTGCTGGCGACACGAGAATTATCCTTCCAGGTATTTACTGGGATTGAGTCGCGGTGCTCAGCCTTACGAAGTAGGTGGACTAAGAGTCCTCCGTTTGCACCTTGAAACTTTTAAACATACCCAGCAAAATTTATTCTTTGTAACTGCAATCCTGGACAAAAGTACTTATGACAGTGAGCCCCCCGATGATTGAAGATGATTCCCTGTCTAACTATTGCGATTGAAATATATTTTTAGGTCACCCTGGCTTGGATCTTGATGTAGGAGAATTCCTTGACAGCCTTCAACTCAATAACCTTAAGGATATATTTGAAAAAGAACAGGTAAGTAGCATTTGGGGGCTAGGAAATACAGTCTTTAAAAGGGCTAAATATATTAGATTAGACGAGGTTTGTTGGCTTCGCCAAGATCTCGGCATGTGAAAAATGAACAGCAAGAATTTGTTGGTGATAAAGAATATTTCTCTGTAATATCATGTCCTAACAGCTGAATCTTCATTCAACAAAAATTAACTTTGTGCTTAGATGACAACCCAGCCAGGCCGGTTAGTCGGTATCCTGGTAATCACTCTCGCCGGGACACCCCACCGAACCAAACCAGCAAGGGGACAGCGGGTAACGCGCAGTTCATGCGCACTGCTTCCAATCATTGCGGCTCCTGGGTGGCTCGCGAACTCGGCCCATATTATGAAACCCTTCAGAAAGTGCCGCGTACAATTTGTTTCGGATGCATTTGCTTTTGTTTCTGATTGTCAGTGTGTTTTGTTACCCAGATCTCCTGGGATGTGCTTGTCGACATGGGCCATGAGGAACTTAAAGAGATTGGAATCCACGCGTTTGGTCACAGACACAAAATCCTCAAGGCAGTTAAAGAAAAACTCTCTGGCTTACCAGAACTGGGTGAGTGAATTTTGTAAACGAACTTATAGAGGTTGTCGGATAAAAAACCAGAAGCTGAGTTAAAGAGTTGTTTTTCCTTTTTAAATCCGCAAACTAAAACCAGCCGACCCAAACAGTACTAAGCGAGAAAAGCGCGAAAGAGCTTGTAGACAAGTCCCGTGTGGCTTAGGTGCTGCTTCTGATTGGTTAAAATACGATGGTGGTAGCTCACTATTCATTGAGTTAAAATTTAGGAACAAGTGCGATCTCAAACGGACTTGCGTAACATTGCCTGTTTCTGTAATGTTCTGTTAATGTTTCTGTTTTGTTCTTTTTCAGGTGGCGGACCTTTCACCTATTCAAGCCAACAAGAAACAGTTGTTCATGACTTACCTACGGACGACAAGGACTACATTTCTGTTGCAGAGGAGGTTAGCTAATTTCTTCTTAATCAATCTGTCTTCTAAAAAATAACTGCCATTTGTTTTAACCTCCTGAACCGATTCGTGGAAATATAGCGTTCACTGCATCTCCGTAGTAATTGTGTGGGGGAGAGGGTTAGGTTGGGTTTTTTTTCACCCCCTCCCCCTCATGTTTTTTTTACCGTTTGCTACGCTGGCTAGAATTCCGCAGACTTTTAATGTACTTCGTGTGGCGCTTAAGGTACTTAATCTCCTCCAAAATGCAAAACTGTAGAAATTCTTTCCATCGTATGTCTACTTGTGAACTTATGATATTTACGTATATTGTATTCAGATGCAGAGTACTGTTGTGAAACACAAGAAAGATGGCGGCCAATCCGGTGGAGTCTTCGACTCCTACATAATTGTCAGGGTTAGTAGTTTTATAAATAGTTTACAGCCTTATAGTTTTTATTTGTTGAACTAAACTCCCTTAAAACAAATAGTAGTCATCGCATGTTCACGCCCTCCATTTTTATCGCACTATTATCAAACGAACGCGCGAACCAGACGCGAATGTCAATACAGACCTCGAAAGGGTATGGCGCGGAATCATTCGCGCGCCTCCTACACCCAAAGCTTCGTTTTGGAGAGAGGATGTTAGTTGAGAGGATTTAAAACCAAAGAGCTTAGCCTATATTGTTCAACTTTTTGTCTTTTTTCATTCACTGTCAGTGCACTTGAAAAGTGATTGGTTTCAACATGGAATCTGTATGTGTTCTATGGTTTATTTGGCTTTTGACCCTAATACAAACAATTGGTGACATAGTGGCTTGGATGTTACTAGAAAACAGCAAGTCCATTTTCTCCTTTCTTCAACCTCTGTTTCCTTCTGTTTTAGATTCAGCGGGTCATAAACAAAAGACTGTGGGATAAATACGTTTACAGAAGAAGAGAGGTAAGAGCTTATTTTTCATTGGAAACCTCAGATTATGTCTGTTTCACTCGCATGTTTGAGTTTGAATCGATTGCCCGTCCCCGGGGCAGTTTAATCTCCCTTGCACGTATTTACCGGCGCGTGTGGGTTATCTTCTGCCAAATAAACGAAGACAGACGCGATGTTTATCTCTCGATCCACTCTTTGTAGGTTGCAGAGGCTAATCACAACCACAGTAATGAGAGAATGTTATTTCATGGTATGTGATTACTTTGCAGTAGCTTTTTGACAACAGTCACTTTTTTCATTAAAGTTAAGACTAAATCATCAGCAAACTCTTCTTACTTTTCTTTTAGGTTCGGCATTTATCAACGCTATTCTACAAAAGGGATTCGATGAACGTCATGCTTACATTGGAGGGATGTTTGGAGCAATTGAAAATGTTTTATCGAAACAACAACACGTTTATGGCATTAAGCATTTCAAACCTTCAGTGAGGCAGTCCTGAAGATAAATAAAAAGATAAAAGTATTAAACGTGCCCAAAACTTACCCTTTAGTTTTGCTATAGGCTCTTTTTCTTCAGTCAATTTTTCTTGCAACTTGTCTTGAAATTTTAATGCGCCGCTGCGATAAAAGTTCCCCAAGAACGCGTCGCCTAATGTACCAGTCCCTGAAATAACCAAGTCTTGCAACGTTTGCGTTGGACCAAGCCTTGGGAAAAGTTGAAATTGTTTCTCCTTCGTGCGATGCTTGCTACAACAAACATTTTTTGAGACACGTTCATTCAGCGAGGTGTTACAATGGGCAACACAACCTTATTGCTAAAAAAACTGCGAGACGAATCGCAGAGATTTTGAGAAGAACTAACATTGTCAATTGTGCAGGTATTTACTTTGCGGAGAACTCTTCAAAGAGCAATCAGTATGTGTATGGTATTGGTGGTGGATCAGGCTGCGCTCTACACAAGGACAAGTCCTGTTACTTATGCGAAAGGTAACAGCTCAAGTTATTTATAGTACATTTTTTTTAACTGAGAACTATAACCTGAACTTCAGAGGTATTTTGCGGAACGCAGTATTTTCCAGCTAAACCAACTACGCAAAAGAGCGCCAAGCCTGCGGGAAAGCTTACCATTAAAAATTCGCGCAAGCAACGAGCGAAAGGGGAGTCTACCCTCGCGGGCTCGCCCGCTTGAAATGGAGAGGTTGTCTGCTGGCTGAAGGGTGCTCGTTTTCCCCTTTCCTCCGGTTATTGAGTTTCGAACCTTCCGCCACTTAGGCTACTGTCAGTGTCTAAAAGCTTTGGCAGGTTTGGGAGAATTAAGATGATGATCAAGGGGGCTGGGGTATTTAGCAGATTCTTTTCAATTCATTACTAGCTCCTTTTATGAGTCATCATTTTGATTATACCGAGATAACCGGGGCGAATTATGGTACTCGCTTATAACCAAAAAAGACATCTTGCATTAGATCACATTTCCTGAATTGTAAAATGAAAATATCTCATTATTCGCTTTACTCAAGGTTTTCCTTAATTAATTACAACACTGATTGGGACACTTAAGCCACACTTCTTTTGGCGCAGTTTATTAAGTAATCAATAATTTATAATTTATATGAATGCCACCGGCCTGATGTGAATTTGAATCCAATGGAAGTTTTCATTCTAGATCTTATCTAATCAGCGCGATGTTTTCTATCTGGCAGGCAACTTCTTTTATGTCGTGTGGCCCTTGGTAAGCCATTTTACCAGTTTTCAGCCGTCAAGATGGCGCATGCCCCTCCTGGTCATCATTCTGTAATAGGACGTCCCAGCTCAGAAGGGCTGTCGTTTGCCGAATATGTTGTGTATAGAGGGGAGCAGGTATGTCTTGCTTTTTAGAGCTGTATTTTCTTTTCTTGTCGCACTTGTGGCTGTCGTTTAAGAGAATGCTAGTAGAGACCTTCGCATTAGCCTGTTCCAGGCGTTCATATAGTAGGGCGCGGTGTACAATTTAACTCGCTCCTTACTGACCGCCCCACTCTACTATCTGAACGCCTGGAACAGGCTACCTTCAAATTTGACTACTTAAGCAGTTGATTATATTGGGTGCGACTTTGGCCTACATTTTTTAGCCAGATTGACAAAAGCTAAATTTACATGCAACAGAACAGAGGTTTGCTAATTTGTGGACGTATCAAAGTCGTCTTTCGTGAGAAATTCGTAATTTCCTTTATTTTCGGGGGTTTCAGTGTTGTCCGCGGGAAACAGGCGCCCCATTGATATAGATCGTTTTCACTGTCACGCAACAAAAAAATAAATTGAAATCCGTCAAGTAAAAGAAGCCAAGAAAATGATATGTTATAAAAGACTAATATTTAAACAATTTGTCCAAGTCTCAGGACTTTTTGGCCCACAGTTTCTGAGTTATTTGCCGAAACGTTTCACGCATCTTTGTAGAGCTTTGTATGAAGACGCCATATTGGTGTACAGTTTTGGTGCACCAATATGGCCGCCGAAAATCAACAAAAACATCTGGAGTTCACTTGTTCTATAAAAGCTCCTTCTTTTCACTCGAGAACTAGCCTACGTGCGCATAAACATATCCTCTAATACTTGAAATGGTTATACTGCTGAAAATCAAGAGGAGAGACTTTTTTTCAAGGAGACAGCTTCCTATTTTGGTGTCACGCACTGTGAAAACTCGGAAGTTCAAATTGCTGTATTTTCGAAATGAAACATGCTATGGGACTGAAAACTTGTACAAAGATTAACTTTTTGTTTATCTTCAACCTCGTGTAAATAAGAATTCGTAAAACCTCGCTATTTTGACTTTACAATTTGATGACGTCACTGTAAAAACCATCTGTAAAGCATAGACATTTTGAGCGACACACGTCAATCGAAAGTGAAGCCTTTTCTCTTTTCAGTAATATGCCTGGACAGACGCTATCAAATTTGTATTCACTGTTATAGGGACGATCTGCGTTACAATTTGGGCAAAACCACTGTCCAAGAAGGCAAAAAGTCCAGCTCGGTTGACCTTGTTGATTTGTGCTATTCAAAAAATACAGATACAGCATTTGGTTATGATAATATGATGCCAGTGTCTTTTTAAAGAATCGATGTGCCATTTGGTTAATTATCTCATGACACACTACGTCCTTGTTTCCTTTGTTGTTTACAGGCCTATCCAGAATACCTGATCACTTACAAGATTGTTAAACCCTCCAACGTTGAGGCATCTCCATAAATTCCTTGTACATCAGTACCAATTAGGAATCTGAATGGCTGAGATTGCTGTACATATCTACATAACCAAATAAGCGTCACAACGCTGTGCAAATTCCAGCGTCAACAGAAATGTATGACCCCATTAAAGGGGTAAACAACCACTCGGAGAAATCAGAAACATGATAAGAAGGAAGGGACAAGAAATAGGGTGTACAAATTCCAAGAAAGCATGTTAACAAGAAAGACTATTAAGCTTACAACGAAGCTGAGATTTAACTATGACTGGCCCCAGTCGTTCAAAAGCTGGATAGCGCTATCCATCGGATAAATCACGATCCAGTGGATAAATATAAGGGAAACCAATGGTGCTATCCAGTGGATAGAGATTTATCTGGTGGATAGCGTTAACCACCTTTTGAACAACCTGGACCTCAATTATGTACTTCAGAGCTGATTATGGATTTTAAAGCCGGAAAAACACGAAATATGATGGCACCAAATTAATCATGAACATTGTACTTTTATATTATCGCAGAACAATTTTATATAATCTTGTAATTTAATATTGTAAGAAGTAATCATGCAGTTAATGCAAAACAAAAAAGGTTATTCAACCGTGTCCTGACAAAGGAGAGGTTTTTACCCCCAGTGGAAAGCTTTTTCAGAGGCCAGTTACATACCGCATAAAACTACAAACTGCACTTTCAGCAGGTTATCCTCGGCGCCAAATGAAAAACTTTTTAATAGTTGGTAAAGCCCAGCGGAAGGGAATTTAGACTAAAATATTATCGAAAGCCTTACTTGACATTACTTTGAAATATAAGTTTACATGGTGGTCAAAGAGTCTGAGTTGGAAGTTGATTTTCTTTCTGTATTTTTTTACTAGTTTGGCCTTGACTGTTGGGGATTTCTTGCAACAGTGACACTTGTCACCTCTTATTTAGACAATCTACTTTTCTAAAGTTAACGCTGTTCCTTTACCGTAGTTTGTTTATCACTTATCTGTGCTTTTGCTTTAATTGTAAATGTAGGTCTGTAAATATATCAACTATTTCATTTAACTCCATGTTATAAACGAGCCTTTTTTATACCAATATCAAAATGCTAGAGCAAAGTTTGTCTGTGTGGTTGTTTGTTTGAAAGTAGATTTAAATCATGTATTGTTAATATCAAGGACGTTCAACTCCGTCAACTTTTTGCATGCGACCTACATCATTAAAGGTATCGTTTAAATCAAACCTTCGACACATGTAAGCGAGAGCACGTTTCGTGTCTTGCTGCTTGTTATAAGCTCACCACACCAGCGACCTCACGAAAGAGCTCGCGGGTACCGCTGGTAACATGCCGCAGGCATTGCAACATCCTTACCAGCGTTGGACGACTACTTTGCGGTCGCATGGTTGCAAGCTTATAGCGTGCAACAAAATTGTCGGTTCCAAGAAAACGTATACTGCAAAAAGCCGACAATTGCCACAAGCTTGGACAGTTGCTTATTTATTATTGCCTTCTTTTATCTTTTCTTCAACTAACCATCAATGCTCTTTTTAAAACAAACAATGCGGCGCTTATTACTATTAATGTCACTATTCCGCTTAAGATAAGCATGAAAACGTAACGCAACTAAAGAGCGCACGCCAAGGCAAATAAGACAATAAATACAAGATGTTGTAATAAGAAGGGGGGGGAGACAACCCTGTGGCAGGTTCTAGCCACTTCAGGTTATACGCACAACAAAACCACAAGCCTCACTTATCGCCCCATTACCGTGGGGTAGGACAAGAGTATTGGCAGAGCCCTTCTTATCTCCCCAGCGCCGCACGGGCTGGATCGAACAAGATTAAGGCAAAGGAATAAGATGGCAAGACAAAAGCAATACGAAAAGCTTGGGGGAAGTCGCAACGCAGACTTAATAGCGCCACGAGGAGTGACACTCCAAACTTTATTGATACATAGCACAACAAAACTCCTCCAAAGTGAGGGAGGGTGGGTAACAAAATTACTGTAACCGTTTGCTTTCGTGCAAGCTAGACGAATAATGGCCGGGTGTGAAATAGCCGAACTTTTATAGCCAGACAGTGTCTCAAATCTCGACCAACAGATATAGTTGAAATATAAACTACCTGGTCTCATCATGATAAAAGTCCAGCCATAGATAGGGTCTTGAGACAGGGACCAATCTGCGCGATGCTAAGAAAAAATATGATGACAAACTAACACAAATTAATAAGGTTCCAGCCATGAACAGATTTTGTTTGTATCTTAAAATTAGCGTGCTCATCCATTCATGAATAAGGCTTTCAAGATACAACAGAGCATATATTGGGGCAGACTACCTTGGCCTACCCCTCCTTGGACTTCATGTTCCATTAACTGCATTTACCATCCAGTAAATGTCTTAGTAAATTTTTCGACTTTTCTGTCCGACGCTCATGTCAATTTTCTCATTCGCCAAAAAACACGATTCTACGCATTCTTTCTCTCTCTTACTGTTCACTTTTCAAGGTATTTTCTTGGCGGAGAAAATCAGTATTAACAAATTGATTATCCTACGGTGGTCCACAAGTGCAACGGCAGATTTACAGCAAAATGAAACGTAATATAATCAGCTCAGGGCTTGTATATGTAGATACGTTCAGTTCAAGTTTTAACGCTCAGCCACAAAACTGGATTAATCACAAGTGTTAACAATAATCAACTCTAAATCAATACCTGAGAAACAATATTTTTAAGATCCCTGTTCAGAAGGTGTTAAATTTGCACACAGCGCTTACTAGTTGAAAACATAAATACAGTGTTTGTTGTAATCTGTAACAAACAAATGTCCAGTATTAGACACGGCACAACCAAGAAGATTGCTATTATGGTCAAAAAAACTCCCAGCTACCTTAGCGACATATTTTCCGTCAAGAGTGAACAGTTGCAGTCTATCGTTATTCCTATCACAAACGATCAAACGGTTAAACTTGTCAATAGCGAGAGCAGTGGGACCCAAGAACTGCCCGTCACCAGATCCCTGACTGCCAATGTCATATACATACTCCCCTGCGATGTTAAATACCATGACACGGTTAGCTTCAGGATAAGAGACAAAAAATTTGTCCTGCTGATAAACAGCACACCATGGCTCCGCATCACAACCAGGAGCACTGAACGACTGAAGTAAGTTTTTCCCATCAGGGCTGAGAACTTTGATTGTTTTGTCAGCGAAGTCACATGTGATTATACGACCATCACTCTCAGATATGTACCACGGTACCTTGTTATGTTTGTCGCTGATGTATCGAATGAATTGACCACCCTCAGTGTACAGGCAAAGCTTATTGCCGCTTCGAGCAACAAAGCTAAGGAGGTCACCAGACTCGGTAAAAGTCACCGAAAGCGTTTTAGCTTCCAATGTTATCTCTCTGAGGAAATTCCCATCAAAGCCAAACATCTGAACTCTCTTATTCTCGAAATCAGCAACAGCACACGTCCTTCTTTTATCATGCACAGCAATATCACGAGGCATATTAAACTGTCCTTGCTCTTTTCCTTTTGATCCAAATTGAAACGCAAATTGATACTGATGCGGAATCACCTGCACAACCCAGGGACTACCAGTCAGCGGCTGTCCATTAACTTGGATCTCTACTCCATGTTGTCCAACACACTGTGGTGTGTATGTTACTGTGTACTTGCCGTCTTTAGTGTCTTTTATCTCTGTTTCCAGTTGATCATCTGCTGGAGTTATAATGTTGACTTTTACTTGATCATCTTCATGATAACACTGCTTTCCACCTGAATCTCTAGTTACAATGATGAAATTTGCCACCGTTTTTTCTCTTACAACTTCTTGATTGTTCACTTCCGCTACGGAAAGTAAGGGATCTGTATTACTAACCACAATTCGGTCCAAACCCGGATCCGGTTGATTTTCGACAATGTAATGCACGAGTGGTGGTTTATAAATGTCAGGTTTTGTTACATTCAAAAGTTCTTTACAGCGTCCAACAATGATCTGATTTGTTTGAAGAATCTCGGCGCTGACGTTTCTTTCTAGTGCGCTTTCACCTCGCTCAATGCAGCTATGCAGTTGAGTCAGAACCAACTCAAAGTTTTCTAGTCGTGTTGCGTGATGTTTTTGTTGCGCTTCATAAATTTCAGCAAATTTGGCTTTCATGACCACCTCATGTTCCCGTAATTCACGGATACGTTCCTCCACTGTATCTGTCATCTTCTTTTCCGCTGACAAAATCTCATTTTTGGTTTTGTCCATTAGCTCGGTTTGTTTCCTTATTTCGTTCTCGTAAATTACAGTTTCCGCTTTCACTTTCTCCAAAGCGCCCTTCATTTGCATTTTCTGTACTTGCGCGGCTTTCTGAGTGTCTGTTATGGTGTGTCGATTATGGCTTACTATACAGCATTTCTGGCAAATAAGACATTTGCATTCTTCGCAATAAAATTCCAGCGGTTGATTTTCGTGATATTGCTGCGAACACATGACTGGTCTGTGGATCAACTCTTGAACATCTTGCACTTGCAATTTCTCTATCACAACATTGCGATGACCTCTTGTGGTCTTCAGTCGCTGATGAGCTTCAAAACAAACAGTGCAGAGGAATATTTGGCAGACGAAACAGTAGGAGGAAGCGGTGTTGTTATCATCACAACTGCTGCATTTCTGGGCCTGTGCGCCGCCATCTTTTAGAGCGAGAACATCCACTAATCGGTTGAGATGATAAGATGTGGGCAAATTCTTGAACGAGTCTCCTTCAGGAATTTGAAATGATGTCTGACAAACCGGACATTTGATTGATGCTTGTAGCTGTCTTCTTGCATAATTTGCGTGTTTGTCAAGGCACTCCAGGCAGAATGAGTGAATACATGGCAAAGTCTTGGGATTGTTCACTGTATCCAAACACAGTGGGCATTCAGTTTCTTTCTTAAGATTCGCGAAAAGCTGTTGAACATCCATAGTGTAAAGGTGACGAAGTTAAATGTAACCAGAAGGCTTTATGAAGCCTGGGCTCCCCAGTCTAAAAGAGATAAGCAAAATAAAATGATATTCGCGGAGTGATACGTTAAAAATAGGAACCAAACAGAGACTGAGTTGAGTTATGAATTCAGAAACAAGATAGAAAAAAAAATTTAACTCTGGATTGGATCAGAATATTTTCCTTTGTTAGTACGGCAGAAAGGAATATAAAACTGATTTGAACTACGCGTTCATTGTTTAGGGCCGCCAAGTTGTTTTCATCAAGTCGAAGTGCATCACTTTAATCGCCCAAAACTCAGCAATAATTCATTGATTCGAGATCAAAAATCCGACAAACACATCCGCAAACGGATACAAAAAGTTAGTTCATACCTTTAAACGCGAGGCTGTACAATTTTTTGTGGCAAAAAACCTTGCCGTAAATCACTTACCGCTGGAAGCCCTTCCTGCGGTTCAAACGTGAACTGCAAACTGCAAACGTGACCGCAAGGCCTTGGTCATGTGACATTTTGCGGTTTGCGGTTTGCCGTTTCCCTCGAAAAACCTGATGCTAAAGGTCCCTATTACAGGACAACTCGGATTAATATTAATCCTAATGATTATTATAATCCAGTAATAGATTATTATAATCCATTACTGAGGTTTGAGCCGTGCCTTGATCAATTAGGATTACTATTAATCTTATGTAGGATTAATATTAATCAGATTAATATTAATCCTAATATTAGATCCAGTAATAGATTATTATAATCCATAACTGAGCTTTGAGCTGTACCTTAAACGATTAGGATTAATATTAATCTGATAAATATAATCCCACATAGCTCAAATTTGTACAAGTCTCTCAATAAAGAAAATATTCTATTCTAACCATGACAAATTTGCTACTTGTGCTAGTAGTTTGTGAACAAAACTCTTAATTACATTCAGTCAATAACCGCACTCCTTATTATACGTTATTATATTTTAGTAGCAGAAGTCGGCAGTTGTCTCAGCTCTGCTGGTAATACAGTTGCAACTGAATTTTTTGCAGGGCCATGAAGATTTTTAACGTAGAATAGAATAAAGATCTTAAGTGATAAAAAAAATAACAAAGTGAAAGGGATGTCAGTGCGCACATCATCAAAGGAAATCCTTGAATCTTTTCCAGTTATTTCTAAAAGACGCAGTTCTTCTGAGTTTGATCCATAGAGATAGTTATTTCCCAGGGAGCATTTCATGATTTGGACCGTCTGCCTATATGCTGGACTTAAAGTAGGAGTTTTTGTTAGAAGATTGGGTTTCAGGATTGGTGTCATAGAAGGAGCCATTGTTGTTGATGGGTTAGCTGGTGGCATCCACGAAGGCGTATGATTGACTGAAGTGATGGCACCAATTTCAGCTGGACGGAAGAACTCTAGAGTTATGTTGGCAAGTGACCTTGCAGACAACATATCCTGTATGCGTTGATAACGATACTTTATACATGCCTTGTCATTCACTTTAACAAGAATGTCGCCATCTCTAATCTGGGAGAATGATGCCGACTGTTCGACAGCTTCAACAATCCAGCCTCCTCCAATTATTGTTTCCGGATGATTATTATTAATAATAATAATCTAATCCTTCCAATTTTTGCCGTGCCTTAATCTATTACTGGATTATAATAATCTATTACTGGATTATAATAATCTATTACCGGATTATAATAACCATATTATAATCTATTATTATTATAATCCACGGATTAATATTAATCCGAGTTGTCCTGCGATTAAAAAGACTGAACGTGACGCACTATTATGCCTTTGTTTACTTCTGATCACATCTTCAAGCTAAGTCTCTCTTTTCAAGCGATTCATCTCAATGCACAATAATTGACCCTTATATTAGTTAAAACCCTATGGTTCATTTATATTAATGCTGTTTTTGCCCCTCACATTGACTGTGTTCGTTCGTATTCAAAACACCTTTACGAAAATAAAGGTCGTATAAGTCATGTGTGTTATGTTTCGAGATAAATGGATTATACGCTTTTTTAAGTTTCCATTTTGCGGTGACTTCAGTTTACATCTCCATAAAATGGTAAAAGAAATATCAAGAAACATCACGAGAGCTGAAAACTTTCAAAGGCATGTTTCTGAAAGTCACTAATGCTGACATCAACATAGCGTGCTTGCTGAATGGGCGAAAACACAGAATTGTGATCACAAGATCACGTACAAATTTAATGATAAAAGCTTAGCAAGATACAGGTACAAACAAAAGCAAACCCCCTGAAACCTCGACGTGGGCTACACTTGTATGCTCTCCTCAGTCACCAAACCTTGTCAGTAATAGCTCCTATTTTCCTCAAGTCGCTCTCTGTGAAGCTCCCGGATGGGATGTCCCGGTGAAGCTTTAAGAGGCTGTCCGCGTAAGAACCGATAAGACAAATTTTGGTCTATCACGGATTGCCCTGATTTTTTCAGTGGAAGATAACTATCCTATCCCATGAAGAAATATCACATTTATTTGGACCAACTCAATTTTTTTCTTTATTTTACAGAAAGATTTTCTAGGTCACCTAAACCTAGCCAGTTTGCCGTCGGAAGTGGTGCGATTTTAAGGAAACTTTAGGGCTCTTGCAAACCTACCTTACCAAGCCGAATAAGCTGATTATTTTACACACAAATGTTTTAACACTGATTAATAGTTTCAAGGTTTAATGGTTGCATTCTGTGGAAAGCTGGCTGAGATATGATTTTTTTAAAATGACCTTTAATTTGCTTATCTGGAAAATTAATTTGCATAACTAGAGCTGAACGGTAATTTCGCAAAAGTGGCACCTGACCCAGACTCAAGTCTGTGATAAAACAGAAGTACTAAGACCAGTCTACTTCTTAATGCAATAAAATTTGTGGGTACTCCTCTTTGCGTGCTGTACAAAGTTCCGTTAATGTTCCAAAATTCGCCATTTTGACAGCTGGAATTGTAACGGTCTGCATCTGGTCGACTAGTTTCCACAGCTTTAACGTTTCTAGTTATCACTAACCGTCATTAGACCCTTTAAATGTTGGACTTTCGAAGACATGTGGAGAAAACTTAGTAATCGCTATTTCTTGGTTTTTTTCTTGTCGACGATGAACGTGACTTTATTCTCCATATGCAAATTAGATGCGTCGTTTCAACAACTTGACAGGAAACATAATCGTTACATTTCGCATTTCTAAGGAGAAAAATAACTCTCCTTTCTACAGAAAAACACGAACCATCACTTAGAATCCCCTTAAGGTCTGTTTTTGTTGTTGTTTAACGAGGAAGAAGCAGCTGAATAATATGTCATGATATATGTTTGCGCGGCTTAAACTATATACTACGGTGGCCCATAGAGGACACGCTACTTACATTTTTATATCGCGCGATAAAAAGACAGTTTATCGCGCGATAAATTGAGAATTATCGCGCGATAAATTCAAATTATCGCGCGATAAATAAGAAAATTATCGCGCGATAAATGAGAAAATTATCGCTCGATAAATTTGCATAACATGATAAAGAGAAGCCTGACTCACGCTTTCCACCCTCGTGTTTATAGCCTTTAATTCTCAGAGTTCAGCTTTTACAAGTATATCTTTGAGAGACCTTCCTCGTTTGTACGATATAATTAGAGGTTCTTTGTAGATCTGTCTAAGAAGAGGTTGGTTCTCTATCAGTTGCCAGTGTTTCATAAGAATGTTTTTAAGGCTAGCAACTCAAATTTCAAAGAACGCTTGATTGACAGAGGCTACCCACAAACTATGATAGAAAACCTTCCATCAGATACAAAGTTCATAGAGAGGGAGTCTGCACTCCTGAAAGGAAAAAGAAATATTGCCTTTTGAGACACAGTACCAGCCCTCAGTGTCTACTTTAAAAGAAGTTTTAATGAAAAAACCAACCGTTACTTCGCCAAATTTTTAAAGAACCACCTATCATTTCCAACAAGAAAGGAAAATCCCTGAAGGACATGCTCGTTAGAGCTAAAATATAAAAGGTTAACACAAGGTTTCACGCCGGTATGGATGTGCGGCCTGTCACCGCTTGCATTTTCGTATGTTAACCTTTAATTATTGCGCATTCTAATCCGCCGGAGAACTCATTCCTTTTCTGTAAATACATAACAAGAACATAACCTTTACTCACTTCACTTAACAAAAGGGACCACTGTTGGACGATGAAATACTTTAAACTTGAAGCTAAGAAGTAACCTGGCTTGATTCTCACTGTATAGTTTTGAAACGAGAGATACTTGATTACATATACGTATATAGCAACTGTAAATCTTAATTACTCCCCTTTTCCTTCAGGATTAAAATGCTGTAATCCTTGCTTAGAAATCTAGCTTGGCAACTCAAATGAACTCTATTAAGCTGGCTTAAAAGTTAGACTATAACTCCTTCTTAGTATGATAAAGAAAGGGTCAACATCAAGATAATGCATGCATACATGCATGCAACGTTTCAGCTTCTCTCAAGTTCGTGTGATATGTTGCAATTTATCGCGCGATAAACTGGCTAATTATCGCGCGATAAACTGACTAATTATCGCGCGATAATTCAAAGTTATCGCGCGATAATTTGAACTTATCGCGCGATAAGTTGAAATTATCACGCGATAACTTAAGCAAAAAAAATATATATTGTAATGTCCCTTACGGACCACCGAACTTACGGGCCACCGTAGTATATTCCCAAGATGATCTTGTTTTGGTTTCAGTCTAATTGAATTATAATGCATCAGGTGCCAGTTTCAAATATAATTATGCCAATGAATCGCCGAAGAGATCAATTGTGAAAAAAGCTGTTCTTTTCGCGAGATCGTCAAGACAGAGTGTGGTCCCAGTAGGGGTGTGGAGGGAAATGTGTTGGTCGCAGAGTGCATGAATGATATTACGTCGCACTTAGCCAGCTGTCACTTGTCTAAGTGTAGCAAAGTCAATGACTGAATGAACTCATTTTAGCGAGAGTAGAGATTTGGTA